GAAGGGGATATGGTGCTCAAGAGGAATTTCGAACAAAAGGAGGGGCACGGCAAGCTGGCCGCCATATGGGAAGGACCGTTCCTGGTAGCAGAGAAGATAGGGACCGCCACATACATGCTAGCTACCATGGAGGGGCAGCCAATAGCCAAGACTTGGAATGCCATTCACCTAAGGAAGTACCACAATGAGTAAGGAAAAGTAGGCCATAGGAATTTTGTAGGAAGTCGATGCCATGGTTATAGGCACTTTTGTGAGGGTGGTAGTCAACACCCTAATCAATGACTTCAGTAATTCAAGTCGCCACTGAGCGATATGTTTTTATGTTACCAATCTAAGTTATTCTCATAACTCTCGGCCGCTTAACACAGCCGCTTACTACGTGCACGCTCCTGCCTGCAACGCCATATTGGAGCAGAACCGCCCCAGAGCAATAACTACGCGCCCAACTGAGTTCCTAACTTGAACAATAAGGGGCCGTGCCCCCCAACCCGGACAGGAACTATGTCGCCGAGTAGAGGGAGTAACATAACATGTTACAAAATTTCACAAGTAAAATCCCACCTCACAAGCCTGTAAGCCGCTTTCGAACGGCAGGGAGCGCTTACCTCGAAGAGGACGTTCCTTCCGCCCCCAACCCCCCCCCCCCCCCAACAAAGGAGAAGAAGTGGAAGACAAGGCAATAGAAACCGCAAGTAAAAGTTCCAAACATCCAGAGATTGAGAAGAAGGAGCGTAAACATCATCCAAAACAAAATATTACAAAACCTCGCCCGAAGGCGGAATGTATCAAATGCCCCAAAAGGGAGAAAGCGATAAGAACAGAACACTTGGTTAAATTGCTGATTAAACTAGGAGGAGCCGCCCTCGGTGGAAGCGGGCTGGTTGACTTCTTCCCCGGTGGTGGTCGCGGCGGCCGCGGGCTGGTCTCCCACTTCGGAGTTGACATCATTGTCACTCCAAAACTCCACCACATTCCGATCCCACAACACGTACGGGTGATCGCGGCGGAACAGGTGGCGGATAGAAGCTACCGTATCTCGCAGTAACTTCTGGTACTTAGCTTCATCCACCGCCTTGAACTCGTCCGATTCAAAGAAGGTTGCGCGAGCATCCTCCCTAGCCTCGTTAAGCTCGCGTTCCCGCCGCGCTTCCAAATCAGCCACCCGGGCCTCCAACTCTCCCACCTTGCTCTGCAACCCTTTTTCCCGCTCGGCCGCCTCCCGCACCTTCTGTTGGGCCCCCTCCAGCTCCTGGGCCGACTTCGACAGATCCACCCTGGAGGTCTGCAGCTCGTCGTCCTTTGCCTTTAAGGCCGCCTCCTGCTCCTTGAGGATCTCATCTCGTAGCTCCCGGCGGAAGCCTTCGCGCCCCTCCTTCACCTGCTCCTCGAGCGTGAGGATTTTGGTCTCGCGCTCACCCAAGTCATCGAGCAGGCGCTCGTTGGCCAAGATAAGTTGGCTTATCCCGAATTGAGCCTACGACCGCAAAGCCAGTCAGTGCCACATACATATCGAATAGCAGAGCTGAAAATAAGTCAAGTCACTCACCGCAAAGAAGCACCGGGCGGTCGTTCCAGCCAGATGACGAGTGTCAGAAGTTGTGGGGATGGTACCCGCAACGCGCATGTACTCGCTCGGAACGGCGAACCCCTCGGCAATCGCATGGAGGGCGCGGCGAGCTGGCTCAGCCGAAGAAGTCACATGCGGGGAATACGCCGCGCTGGAAGTAAGGGTGGTGGTCTTCTGCTTTTTCTGACTGACTGGCGGCTCGGAGCGCTGGTCAACAAGGATCCCTTTCAGCTTTGGCTGATTCCCCGCAGACGGCTCATCCTGGACTTCCACCACTTCTAGGGGCCGCTTGTTCGCGGAACGGGTCACTCCCTGACCGCTGGGGGACGGTTAGTTTAAGGGTCCCCGTGCGTCCCAGCGCCAGCTGCGACTGGGTGGAGCCGCCCCCGGTCCGCGGGCCCTCCGAAGCAGTTGGACCGGAGATAACAGCCGCGGGGGACCCGCTCGTCGCCACTTTAGGCGGCCTCGCCGAGGACGCATAACGCCGGATACCTGAAAAATGAATACATAAGTAAAAGCATGATCAAGCTACATCCCATCAAATTCTAGGAGAACTAACTAACCGTGAAAACGCTGCACAATCTCAAGAGCGTTATCATGCCCATGCGAGGGCAACCGAAACTGGACAGTCGAGATGATGCGGTCGAGGTGCGGTCTCAGATGCTGCAGCTGCTTGACCCCTTCGTCCCAATCATCTGTCTGCCCGAAGGAGAACGCGGTCAATGGCTCCACGTCCCCCGAGTACCATTTCCCGGCCGGGCGAGCAAAGAAGTACTCACTATACCACGGGGAATCCAGCTTCGGGGATCCATAGACGAACCCGATATTCTTCGACCGCCTTCGGGGTGACCAGCAGTTCTTTGAGCCGGTCATGGCATACAGCAGCCGAAAGGCGTCAAGGGACGGTTTCTCCTTTAAGCGGTCGCAAGCCGCGCGATAGCAGATAGAATGGAATACTATGGAGGGAGAAAGGTGGCTCAAGGAACAGTTAAGATGCAAGAGTACCCCAGTGAGAAGCGGGTCCAGCGGGAACTCCAACCCTAGCCGCATGTGCTCCGTAAAAATGGTGATCCACCCGACGGGGCAAGAGCCGCAACGACCTTCGGGGGATGGAGCCGCATACTCCCAGTCAGTAGGAAGCTGGTGCCTATGAAGCTGGCGGAGCACTTGGGCAGGAGAGTAGGCGGGTTTGTACTTAGGTCCGTACGAATAGACCACATCAGGGACCTCGCTCCCCTCCCACATATCCGCATGCAAGCGCACGCGGTACTCACGATCAGCAACCGCCTGAAACGGATAAATCATAGGCGTTTCTGACAGAGCTAACGAAGGAGAATCCGCGACCGAGTCCTCCCTGTCTAAGTCGCGAGGCGTGTCTTCCGGCACGTTTTCCGAGGATAGCTCCACCAGGTTGTCCCCAACCCGGGAGGTCGCTCCGCGTTCAACCAGAGAGGTAGCCGTGTCGGTTAGCACGCCCACTCCTAACCCTAAAATGCAACCGTCAGGTCTATCTACACGCTCGCTCGCGACAACCGCATTACCACCCCCACACAGCAATTCAATACCCTCTGAGTCCCATTCTATGTCGGATAAACTTAAAGAGTGGGAGAAAGCGGGCATACCTGCTCCAGGGGCAGGACCGCCCACACTGGCGGTTTTAGCGGAGGTACGTGCAGCCCCAGCGCTGACTCGAGGAGCGGCGACGTTGCCGGTGGTAGTGGCCGCCGCCGTGACGGACGCGGTGGTCGTCGCAGCAGCGGAAGGAGTGTTGGTGGCAACGTCGGAGGCAGACGGCGGCGCCGAGTCACCGGAAAGGCCGCGGTTATGGCTATCAGAGGGAGTAGTTGCTTGAGAAACCATCGCGGACAACTGTTTCCTCTTATTCTTCTTGTCTCGTTTCTGGGATCTTCTCAGGGAAGATAGAAATCGGTGTCGTTCCACAGGGATTGAGGGATGAGTCTCCAGATAACGAGAGAGGGAGAACTTAGAGCACCGCGCAATTTTGAAATAAGGAGCAAGAAATGAGAGAATGCGAAGGTTCTTCTCAACAGAAACACTCGGGGTATATATAGCGGCAAAAGAGACTGATGTGACGGTTGAGTGCCCGAAGGAAAGCTTTAGGCCGCAAAATTCAAAAAGCGGGCAGGTGAAAGGACATTTTGCCTGCCCGGTGTCAGAGCACGGTAACCAACGCACAGCCACGTGTATAAAGTGTTTCCACCAGGAAAACCCGTAAGGCGGTCGGAGCGCTGCTTAGGCAGAAGCAACCCTAGGTCTCTGGCGACCAGGGACAGAATAGGACAAGGAGGAGGAGCAAACCGCTCAACTAGCTGAGAGCATTATAGGTAGCCGCCAAAACCCTAGGCTTTTCCCGCCTAAGGGGCAATTGTTGGGCCGCATAGTTGAGCGTGTCTGGGCCTCGGGCCCAAGAGAAGCGAGTCGGAGTTTAAGGCCCAATGAGGAGGCCAGGCCCGATCGAAAGACCGGGTCAGCGGGCGGTCCATGATCGACTGCGAACCCGAGGAATAAGATAAGGGCGCCTGACATAAAGCAACTGAGCAGCACAGAGGGGCAGAGAGCCATTGAAGATGCGTATCTGGTGTCAGGCAAGACTGAGCATTTATTGCCAGCCACAGGCGGCCTGCAGAAAGGCTGAAAGCCTGCCCAGGACGCCTGACATTCCCCAAAAAGCCTGCACGGGCGCCCGACCAGGTCTGGGGCGCCCGACACAACATTTAATGCCCCAACCACCCTTTAACCATGTATAAATAGAGGGTGAGTGCATTAATGGTAAGGCCAACTACTATTCATCTCTCTACATAAATTCTAATCTCTCTCCTTCTCTCTCTAACTTGAGCTTCGGAGAGTGTCCCGGGCGAACCGTCCCGGACCGCTGTTTTGCAGGGTATCAGGAGCATTCCCCAACATCCGAGAAATAGGCGCCTCACCCCAGCTCCACAAACCGCCTAGTATCTACTAGGCACAAACAGGTTTCATATTGCAATCCTACCAAACTTATGATATTGCATGTTTGGAAATACATTGTTACTTAGAGTTGTCAAGTAACAATTGTTTATTCTAAGTATGCAAATTAGTGCAACCACTATTCATTGATATACTTAAGTAAATGAGGTTGAACCTGCAGAACTTGATTTGCCACTTCAATAAAATTTGTAGATTTATCTTTCTAGACATCCATTTTACCAACCAAGTTTATCGAAAAGATAAGAAGAGACAACCAGACTACTACTCTACAAGCTGTTGGATTGCTACTTACATATTTTAAACTCAAATAACATAAACAATCACACATATTATATATCAAACGTCGTACTTTACAATGCATTGAATTTGATAATATACATGAATAATTTTATACATGTATTTACAAAGATATATATATCTATTTAACAATCGTAACTTCCAAAAACGCTTCGTACTAAAATCCCCGACATTACGTTATGCAATTTTGGAGTTTTCCGACGGCACCAATTAAGAATAAAAAAAAATTCCCAATTTCCTCCATCGCAATCAAAGAACACGCCCTGCCCCAGTCCCCGCAATTTCCACACCATTCATTGACTTCTCTACTTCCTCTCCCTCCATTATTTTCCATCATCACTTGGCCCATAAAATTCCACCCATTATTGCCTTCACAAATCTCTTCAGTTCATCCCCACTGTCCCTCTACACACTCTCGTTGTCAAATAATGGAGCAGATGAACTTCTCGTACAAGTTCGGGGAGAAGCAGGGGGCCGCCGTTGAGGAATTGGAGGCTGCTAAGTCCGATGAGCCGGTCACCGCTTACCCCCCGCCGGCTGATTTAGGCTACGTCTATCCTCCGCCGCCACCGCAGCACCAGTATTTCGGTTACCCTTCGGCGGCGCCAGCTGGATACGAGGAGGAGTTACGGTGCTAATTGTACAATAGTTAGCACCGTCCTAACCAAGGGAAAAACTACTACTAGTTTGAATTAGTAGTGATTTAGTTTAGATGTTGTATTGATTTTATAATAATCCGTAGTGATTTCGTTATTTTTAGTAGCGTTTTTTGCTAGTTATCACGGTGCTAACCCCTATAAGGGTTAGCAGGGTTAGCACCTAATCCCATCCCAGATACGGGTACTACCAGCCGCCACCTTCAGGTAAAATTGTAATTGTAAGTTTAAGCGTTTTAGTGATCTAGAAGCGTAAAAATGCAAACTTTTAATTTTAAAGCTTATGCCCTGTTCACTTCCCATCTCATTTTCTGTTTTCTGTTTAAAAAATGAAAATCAGGAAACAAATGACATTTAAACGTGTTCACTTGACCATTCCATTTTCCCTGAAAAAACCCAATTATTACAAATGAGAAAGCTTTGGAAAACGATTTATACCTGTTTTCCGAAAATAATGACACGGGTTATGCCCCCGTTTCCCAGCGGAAAACACACTAATCCTCCCAATCGGCCCGCGTTCGATTCACCCCAGACGCTCTTTTTTTACCCTTTTTCCTCCGAGCTCCTACGCTGCCGTTTTGCCCTCTAATCAACCCTAGAGACTACTTCGGCCTCTCCTCCCACTATCCTCCACAACCCGCCGCTCATCTTCCTCTTCTCCCTCCGCTCAACACTCTTCTCCCTCCGCTCATCTCACTCTTCTCCCTCCGCTCAACTTCGGCCTGCCGCCGATCTTCCTCTCCTCCCACTTCGTTCCACACCCCCGGCGATCTTCCTCTGCCCCCACTTCGTTCCACACCCCCGCCGATCTTCCTTTCCCTCCAGCTTTGCCGCCGATCTTCCTCTCCCTCAAGCTTTGCCGCCGCCGATCTTCCTCTCTCCTCCCATCATCTTCCTCCTGCTAGCGACCCACTCCCTCCATCCTCTCGTCCAACAGAGAGCTCCGCCATCATCTTCCACTCCCTCCATCCTCTCCTCCCACTCCCTCCAGCCTCTCCTGCTAGCGACCCGTAAGAAGTAGAAGCAGCAGCCGGCGCCCCGACTTCCTCCAACAGAGAGCTCCAGCTGCCGATTCCAGGTACTTACTCTCCTTGCCGCGACCAATCCATGCTTGCTTGTGATGATGAATTGGAGTGGTTTGGTAATGTTTTGTGAACAATGGACAGATTTGTTGCTTTATTGTTTTGATTGCAAATGATGTCTTTTTTTGTTTTGTTTGATGTCAATTTGTTGGTGATATCTTATTTCGTATTGAATTGTAGCGTGATAAGCGATGGCTGATATTGATGTCGTAAACAATAATGATTGTGTCATACTTGAGGGAGCCGAGGTTTGGCCTGATAAAGTAGTCGAGTATTTTATTGCTTTGATGCTCGAGGAAGTAAAGAAGGGGAACAAACATACGACAACTTTCACTAAATTGGGATGGTCCAACATTGTAAATGGGTTGAAGATAAAGTTCAACAAGGACTATGCCCCAGATCAGTTGAAGAATAAATTTAATTTGATGAGGAGGAAACACCGGGAATTCAAGGACTTAATCAGCCAGACTGGAATTAGTTACTCTTCTGTAACATGAAGGATTGCTGCCTCTGATGAGCAATGGAAGGTGTGGAACGAGGTAATTGACATTTTTAGTCATTGTGATTCAATTGAAAGTAGTATTTAGGAAAGAGGAATTGATTAGAATGTTGCATTTGCAGCGATACAAGATGATGGGGACTATTAGGAAGCATGGATGTCCAGAGTATGCAAACCTGTGCATATTATTTGGTGATACAACTGCCTCTGGTGCGAATGTTGTTGCTTCTACTCACGAGGTCTCAGATAGTAGTGGTGGACCTAGCAAAGCAAATGATGTGGATGTTGATGGTGAAGAAAATGTGGGTGGAGTCTCTGGTTGTGCCAAGGAGACGTTGCCCAAAGTGAAGGGTAAAGGAAAGAAGAGAAAAGCAGCTAAATCTGGCTTTACCAATGCAGTGGAGAATGCCATAATCAGCATGGCTGAAGACTCCAAAAGGAAGAGTGAGAGGCGTGAAGCCAAGGAGGCCGCCTCTTCGGTTGGAGGACCTATGCATGATGTATCTTCACAGGATAAAGAGCTTGACATTATGACTGAATGCATGAATTTATTAGATGAAATGGAGGTGGAGGCTAATGTATTTGTGAAGGCTTTCGATGTTCTACATGATTGTCCACTGAAGAGAGGACTTTTCTTGCGTATGACAGAGAGGAGAAGGAAAGAATGGTTGTTGAGTTTAGTGTGACTATGCGTGTTTGTTGAGAACTGCAGTGACATTTGTTTGTTGAGTGTTTGATGAGTTCTTATGGTGATGTTTTATGAATTTTAGCATGATGTTTGATGACTTTTAATATTATGTTTTCTTATTGTAAGAATCTTATTAACTAAGTTGTAATTGAATGTTTGAGTGTTATATCACTTGTATTTGGGTTATTATCCATTTCTAATGAAGTTCTTATGCATTCCAGAACTTATGAATTTAGATTCAGACTCAGATTCAGATTCCGATGAAGAGTTGAAATTCATAATGCTTGTGGCTTTGTTGGAGAATGAGCAATCTAAGTCTATTAGGATGCCATGTAGAACCTCAGTGCAAACAAGACATGCTTGGGTTCAAGAACTTCTCCGTGGGCATCCGATTAGGATATATGAATCACTCCGAATGGATAAAGAAATTTTCTTTGCTTTGTGTGAGGAATCGAAGCAACATGGTGGGTTGAATGATACAACTAATGTGATGGTCGTAGAACAAGTTGCAATCTTCCTCAAGACTATAGGTCACGCAAATGACTTCCGCGACCTTGCAGAACGGTTTCAACATTCTACTGCAACCATCTCAAAGTATTTTAATCTAGTGTTGAAAGCAGTGGTGAAACTTGCAAACAGGGTCATTGTTCCCCCAAATTTGGAAGTTGTTCCCGAAAGAATAGTTGATTCAAAACATGATCCATATTTCAAGGTAAGCAATTCTCTTTATGATTGAGGATTAATATTCGAATGTACTTTAATTATGACACTTACTCACATGAATTCAGGATTGCATCGGAGCAATAGATGGAGTTCATATTGACGCAATGGTTCCGAGTGGTGAGCAGATTCCATATCGAGGACGGAAGACGACTACTACTCAGAATGTAATGGCTGTTTGTTCTTTCGATATGCTCTTTACCTTTGTGATGGCTGGATGGGAGGGTACAGCAAATGATGCAAGAATTCTTACTGAAACAGTTTCCAACCCATCTAACAACTTTCCCATGCCACCGCGAGGTACGAAATGTTTGTCTCTTTATTTTAGTAATTATAGTATACATTTTATATGACTAATTGATTTTATATCTTATAGGTAAGTATTATGTTGTTGATTCTGGATATGCAAACATTCCTGGGTTTCTAGCGCCATATAAGACAAAAGAAGCACGTCATTTTCAAGATATCGATCGTGGAGGTGGACCAAAGACTCGTAAACAACTTTTTAACTATTATCATTCATCTCTACGCAATGTCATCGAGCGTTGTTTTGGAGTTTTGAAGGCTACATTCCCCATTTTGAAGCATATGCCTCCTTTCGCTCTCAAGAAACAAGCACACATTGTTCTTGCATGTTGTGTTATACATAACTTTATTAGGATCCACTCTGGTGACGACACTCTGTTTGAAGGTGCTCAAAATTATTGCACAGGGGAGAATGCCAATGAAGTGCAAGGAGGACAAGAACGAGAAGCATATAATCATTCATCTCTACGCAATGTTATCGAGCGTTGTTTTGGAGTTTTGAAGGCTAGATTCCCCATTTTGAAGCATATGCCTCCTTTCGCTCTCAAGAAACAAGCACACATTGTTCTTGCATGTTGTGTTATACATAACTTTATTAGGATCCACTCTGGTGACGACACTCTGTTTGAAGGTGCTCAAACTTATTGCACAGGGGAGAATGCCAATGAAGTGCAAGGAGGACAAGAACGAGAAGCATATAATCATAGTTCAACCCAAACTCGAGCGATGGATGCACGACGAGATGGAATAGCAAACAAGTTGTGGGATGACTTTCAAGCTGGACTTATTTGAATTTTTATGTTGTACTAGTACTTAATTAATATAAGATGTTGTACTTGTATTGTGTTTATTTGTAGTTTAAAAACTATTTAATTCGAATTAAGAATTATAATCATGGCTAGGGTTGTATGATAATCAAGAATCAGAAAACAGAATGAAGCAACTAAACAGGTTTTCTTTTTAGAACTCGATTTCAGAACTCACCAAAATTCTCAGCTAAACAAGGTTTTTTCAGGTTTTGTTTTCCAGGAAATGGTCAGCTTCGTTTTCATTTTAATTTTGTTTTCTGTTGTGGCAGCTAACAGAAATGGAATGGCAAGTAAACGGGCCATTAGATTTTGACTGTATTTGTAAGTGAAAAGCATGATTTTACATAAAAATGTTTTGGCGACTTAAAAAATGTAAAAAAGTAAACTTTTAATTTTTAAAGCGTGATTTTGACTACATTACAGGTAGTTACGTGTACCCCCTGGGTACGGTTACCCACCCGTTCAGCCAGCCGGCGGGTATGTTTACCTGCCGGTGGTTGTGCAGCCGCCGCCTCAGCAACAACAGGAGAAGAACAAGTTTTGGAGGGCAATCACGGTGTTAGAAGCGGGATTGCTGGGAGGAACTATTGGCGCGCTTTTGATCGGAGATAGGGCGTTCGACGTGGGGGCTTATGATGCTGGGTACGGTGCCGGGTCCGTCGATGCCGGAGGATTTGGGTTCTAGAATATTTGGCTTTCTTTTATATGTTAAACTTGTTGTTGGTTATCCAAGGTTGGTGAATGTCGTCGGCTTCGTCTCCGGCGTACTTACATCAGAGAAATGTGTTGGTTAAATGGTGTCAGTAGTTGAGAGTCGAAGTGATTTGGCCTTTCATCACGGGGATTAGATAGCGTGACAACCCATAAGGGGTTGTGAGTTTCACTTCCCCTTCCGAACCGCCCATCTCCCTTCCTCATGATCTGGTGGTCGATAATCATCAGGGGCAAAATGGAGAGGTGTTCCACTGGATTCGTTCCCCCACTCCTCCTATGGTGTCACGCGAAATTCAGTTTTAAAAGGGGAAAGATTTTTGGAGGCTAATCTGCCACCTTCCCCGGAAAAAAACCGTTCGCCTGGTCAGCCTCCATACCCCCTCCATCAGCTCCCAAAACCCAAAAAAAAAACCTTGCACCGTCGCCGATAAACGTTGTCGCTGGTTTCCTTTCCCATGCATCATCTTGCTCGTTTCCCCATTGGGCTCGCAGATTTGGTCGTTGAGAGTAGAGGTAATTCCAGTCTATTTCCTCCACTCCTTTCTTCTTGATTATGGTCGTTTGAAATTCCGCTCAATTGAAGTTCCGTTGACTGGCTTGAACTGGTCGTTTCCCAACGACCTTCCCTCCTCTTCGATCGTCGTTTCCTAGCGGCCAACCGTAACTTAATCCAACTCATGACAGTTCAATTTTTTTTTCTTTCAGTGCATCGTCAGACTTCCTTTCTCCGTCGACACTTTATACGGCAGTTGAAAACATAGCAGGTGAGGTTTCTATATACCAACCGTTTCTTTCTTGGGTAGCTTGTGTGTTGTTTGTATAATGCAATGGTACTTTAAATTTGTATCGTTGTGGTAGTGGTATTGGTACCAGTTCTACAGGTAGTGGTAGAATGTTTTGTAGTGGTACATGTACATGTACCACTAGTGATACGTGTATCAATAACACTAGTGGTACATGTACCAGTACCACTACTTATTAGCTTACCAGTAACACTAGTGGTAAATACAACTAGCGATACGTGTACCACTAATACTAGTTGTACACGTATCAGAGGCATTCCTGATACTATCTTTTTTGAATGTTTCATAGTGTTGGTATTATGAGTTTTAATAAATATGTCTAACAATGTAGTTTTGTTATTTTGGTACCATGAATGGCGAGAACAAAGACTCCATGCTACGTGTCGATGACAAAAGAGCAACCGGTAGAAAAAAGAACCTACAGGAAAACAACCTCAACCTATGAATCTTAGCAAGTTGTCATCCGTGAAAGGGAGTCATCTGACTCTGATTCAGGCCCTAGTAAGAAACGGCCACGAGATGAGTTAATGAAGTGTCCATGCGAGAAGAAGAAGAAGAAACAAAAAGTAGGAACAAGCGCAAGCTAGTTCGGGAAGCAGTAGTTCTTTTCCAGAGTTCGAGGAGTATGCTATTGGTTTATGTACGTTTTGGAGTATGAACAAAGTTTGAGCTTTTGTTGGCTTTTAGTTCTCTGTGAAGCACTTTTTTTTAGTTCTCTTGTGATGCATTTGTTGGCTATTAGTTCTCTTGCGAAGCATTTGTGGAGCATTTTTAAATGTGAACCATTTTTGTTGAAGAAAACCCCTAATGTTGGTGAAACACTTAATATGGTTTTGTGTTACGACACTAATTTGCTTGCTTTTCTAATTACACACGGACTAGTAGTGGTACATGTAGGAGTAACTAGTACTGCTAAGTACTAGTGGTACGTGTAATAGTAACTAGTACTGGTAAGTACCAGAAACGACTAGTGGTACCAGTACCAGACTTAATATTTCTGATACAAGTAATTACTAGTGGTACTTGTACTAGTAACTAGTGGAGAACACTTTAAAATGGTTATCTAATGTTAGACAAAAAAAGTATAAATACAACAAAACCTCATCTGAATAACGTAATATCTTCCACAAGGGACAAGTTTGATTGTATCATGAACCAAATTTGAATTGAAACATCTAACGAGATAAATGACAAACAATATTGAGGTTTTGTTTTTCCCCTTTTTTTGTTCATGACCCTCTCCGTTTTTCGGGTCAAGCCTGCTGCCTTTTTTGTACCCTTGTTCACGACCTTTGGAGGCTCTGAGTCCACGACCTCTTATGCATTTTTTGGGTCAAGTCTGCTGCCTTTTCTGTTCCCTTGTGTGTTGCACGAACCTCCAAACTAGAAAACGAATAGTTCGGGGAAGTATGACCTTTTCTTCTTAACTCCTCCAACAACTCTAGACGAGAAGCCTCTTTCATGAGCAAAACTCTTGTAGAAACGTGTAAATTCATCCTGGTTCTGGAAACACAAGTGATTCCATGTTCAACTATCTGATGGAACGATGTTTGATACCAAGTCTGTATTTAAAGAACAGATGCATTATCAAAGCGAACGATTTAACCTTTTATCGGTATCCCGGTACCACTAGGGAAGTACCACTAACTACGACTAAATGACTACCACTAAGGGAGTACCACTAGATGACTACGTGTCTACCACTAAGTGGGTACCACTAGGAGCCTACCACTACAATAATACTACTACTAGCTAACTTGAACCATAACTACTGATACATTTTTTCCAAAACAATATTTATACCACTAGTAAAATGGTACAAATGCAATGGAAATTGTAACGGCACAAGTTCACCCTACCATCATTGTTGTCGTCGACGCCATTCTCCGCCACGCCGTCGTCATAAAAAACGCGATTGCGAGAATGCGACACGAAATCGTCGTTGTTCTCCACGTTGAGGCCATATTATATTGGATGTTGTCCGTGTTTTCGTATCGTTTAGGATGATCTTCTTTGACTGTCTCCTCCACGTCCAGAATGTCGTCAACGTCCACCATGCACACATCATCGCCATTCTCCATCGGGTCCGTCGGCTCAGCTACACAGTCGTATATATCCTCGTCGTTGCTTGTCAATGGGACGTTCAGGTCGAACCCAAATATACACGTAGGTTTTGCTCCACCCCATTCTCCGCCATCGTCTTTGCTGATGTAGCCGTCCATTGTATGGCGGCGGCGGTGTCGCTGTATTTTCCATAGCTTGATGAGGGGTCTGGTTTGACGAGGGGGAAGCCAAAAATGAAATGGAAAGAGTCACAACCAAAACTGCCTCTTCCACTCCCCTAATTACGTTGCGAGATTCTCTCCATAGAATTAAGTTTTAATTCAAAATTATTAGAATTAGGTAATTACTAGAAAGCCTTCCTGTGATATTGACCGTCGGATGAAGAAGGAGAATGAACGGCACTGAGGGGGGAAGCGAGATTGACAACCCCTTAGGGGTTGTCACGCTATCCGGTCCCTTTCATCACGTCCATTATTTTGCTGATGGCCTTGCATCAATTGCGTGCTATTACCTATTACGAGTTAAACTTAAATTTTGATGAAATGAAATCAATCTATGCAAGTAATTTGGTTTGAACAATATATTGAATGAAAATTTATAAATAAGTACTTTGATGTTCATACTCATCTCAAATCGTCAAATACGTATATAATATACTCAGATAGTAATTAAACATACATTAGGTCAGGTCAAATTTATTTGATCCAAACCATTAACCAAGAGACCAACTCAATTTAACCTTATCTTAATACGTGCCTAAGAGAAGATGTCCCATGATTCAATTCCACAACCAATAAAGTCACAACATCTGGGAGATAGAGGGTCACACTTGCCATGAACTATGTAAAAGAGTTAAGGGCTAATTTCACTGGGAAGCTTAAACTATTCAAAAAGTGTCATTTGTGGTCTAAATTATTCAATATGACAAATCTGGCCTAAACTATTTTTTTGTTAATGTTGACCGACGTTGATCGTTAGTAGATCATAGAAAATGTAGTCAGCTTCTATCTAGTTTGGGCCAGATTTGTCATATTGAATAGTTAGGCCACAAATATCACAAAATGCATATAGTTTGGGCTAAATTTGTCATACTGAATAATTTAGGCCACAAATGACACTTTTGAATAGTTTGAACTTCCTAGTGGAATTAGTCAAAGAGTTAAAACATAAGGCACATCTTAAGTTGTCTATCCACATTGAACCCAATTGAATATGTGCTATGATTTAACTCACTATCATTAATATTCCTCAAGTATTATAATCAACTCTTAAGACTAAATTCTTACTCATTTTCCCTAAGTTTTATATAAAAAAAACTAAGCCAATGCTGGAAATGGACAGATTAAATTAAGGACATGGAGGCTTTTTCTTTTTTGTCATTAAATCACTCTTAAACAAGAGGAACAAACAAAGTTTCGCAGACTTACAAAAGGATCAAGTCTACTGCGAAACAAAGTCGAACCTCAAACAAATGAGGCGGCAAGAACAGAGCCTGAGTGGCCACCAAATGAGCCGCTCTGTAACCATGGAACACAAACCATCAAACCCAGAAAAGTACAAACTATGACATCGCAAAAACAACCCGAACAGCCTAACCCATGCAATGAGCAAAGTCCACCATAACGACTCTAGTTGCAGAAGCCCTCCAAAGATCCAAATGAAAACCCGAATAATCAACACATCAAAGCCATAATCTGTTGTCCAAAGCCACCACAGCAAGTATACTACATGTAGAAGAAAAAAAACATTTTCATCCTACAAGTGAAGAACAAAAGCATATAGGCTTTGGAAGGAAAAAATTCTCCCCTCAAAAAAGGTAACCACCCATCATCAGGAGGGGAGTGTGCGTGGGGGATTCCCACGACTTCCTCAAAATCATAAATTGTGGCTTCGATTGAGATCCCCCCATTATTGAGCGTCGAAGACACGACGACGACCAGAAAGCGAAGTAAGGCAGAAGAAACAAACCTCCATCCACTCCTCATGCGTGGGTGATGCCCACGTCTGCTGAAACACACGAACAAAGAAATCAGAGCAAAGGGAAACGAAGAACAGATCGGAATTACCCACTTTCCATCCTAACCTCTATTTCCGAGACTCTTGCGCTGATGTTTATACGTGATGCCCACGACTACGTGATTACCCGGAAAATGGAGCCCGACACGGAGGCCTTCTGGCTTCTGCCAAACCCTGAAATTGTAGCTCGGCCCGGCCTCGCCCGCTGACAGATTCACTCCAATTCTCGGCCAAAATAAGCCGAAGCCCATTACATTACGGCCCAATAGTAACAGATTGTGCTTAAACCCTAATAATTTGCCCCCAATTCCTCCAAAATCAGAACCCTTCGTCTTCCTCCTACAACACAGAAGAAATCCCCCTTTTCCTAGGGTTCCAGCTCTCCTCCCGAATCCCAATCCCAAAAACAACATGAGGCCGCTCGACGAGGCGGAGACGACGGTCGTCTTCGAGAAGCTCCTGAAGTTCACCGGCAACAACCTGAAGAATATCGTCGAGAGCCCCGCCCACGAAGGTCCCGACCCGAACCCCGGCCGCTACTGCTTCCGCCTCCAGAAGAACCGGGTCTACTACGTCAGCGAGGCCCTGGTGAAGCGCGCCACCAACATCAGCCGGAAGAACCTCGTCGCCATGGGCACCTGCGTCGGCCGGTTCACCCACGGCGGCAAGTTCCACCTTACCGTCCAGTGCCTGGGCCTGCTGGCGGCGAACGCCAAGCACAAGGTGTGGCTGAAGCCGACGTCGGAGATGTCGTTCCTGTACGGCAACCACGTGCTGAAGGGCGGCCTCGGGAGGATCACCGACGGCATCCAGCCGGGCGACGGCGTGGTGGTGTTCTCGATGTCCGATGTCCCGCTGGGGTTTGGGAACGCGGCGAAGTCGACGCAGGATTGCCGGAAGCTGGATCCGAATGGGATCGTCGTTCATCACCAGTCGGATATCGGGGAGTATCTGAGGATGGAGGACGACCTTTGAAGGAAAAGGTAAAACGGGGAAAGGAAATTGGAGAAAGACCCAATTGATGTAATGAGATATTATGATGAATGTATCCTTTCACATCTATATATTCATCAAGTTTTGGAATTTGGGTGCTTTCTTCTTCTTCTTCTTGCAACCAATTTTGCACCGTCTTTGTTCAATGTTGATTCAGCTTCGTTGTGTGTTCTGTTTTTACAAGTTAACGGAAGGATGAAATGAAATATAGGCAATGTAGCTTAAAGAAACGATCTTTGTATAACGACTCTGTTGTTGCCTGAAGTACCGAGTTTTTGCTCATTCCAGAGAAGGGCATGTCGAATGAGCTTGATAGGAGTATAGAACTATAGATGCCCTACATCTTCAGCCTTCATGGGCACTTGCCTTCTTCAACAGCCTTTCCCTGTGGCATTAGCGACTGTGATGGTTTTTACAGACTTCACTAATCACTACATAGTTAGTCCTGATAGAAACCACAACTAGAGAAGTTGGCAATTTCTGATAGAAAACCACTACTTCTCGGAGTGAAGTATCTGACCGCTACTGCTTCCTCCTCCAGAAGAACACAGTCTAGTACAACATCAGCGAGGCCCTGGTGAAGTGCGTCACCAACTTCAGCCAGAAGAATCTTGTCTCGATGGGGAACTGCATCATCACCACACGGTGAAGGGCGGTATCGAGAAGTTAACCGAAGACATGCAGCCGGAGGACGCAGCAATGCCAGAAGCTGGACTCAGAATGGGATCGTCGACATTGGGAGCAGAGGTACAGTAACGAGAAACTTGGATGAATGCGGCCATGGAAAAGGAGCCTCTGTATCTGAGCATTAACATCAATAGTCATCAAGTTTAGTACTTTTTGGTGGTGCTTCTTCTTCTTCTTCTTCTTCTTCTTCAAGCTCGCAATTTTACTGTGTCTGTTCCATGTTTGTTTCTCACATTCATTGAGTGTTTACTGAATTAGGTTTGCATTATGGTTCAACAGTTATTGCATAATCTATGCACAAAGGAAGAGAAGAAAAAATGACTGGGATCGGTGTTTAGACCATGGAAGCTGTAGAAATAGCTAATGGAAATTGGGCCTAAGTAAAGAAATGAAGTGGAAAAAATATAAATTGCGCATCCAGGGAGTCGAACCCCGGTCAGTACCGTGGGAGGGTACTATGATACCACTACACTAGATGCGCTTTTGTTTATTACAATTCACAAATTGTTTTAATTTATATTAGGGTCACGTTCAACTCTGCAGCTCTTATGGTTCGAACATAGAATGATGTAGTGATTGTATATGTTGGATTACACCTACCAGACATACCTGATTCACTACTCTGAAACGGCTCTTCAAACTTTGCAGAGAGCAGGAGAAGAGGACATTGAGGTTGTTCAAGGTACTAGCTAGCTAGCTCATTATGCGACAGACAGTGCATCTTATTCAAGCATATATATGAAATTTACTCTTGCGATCTGCTGCTCCATCAAATGGATTCTTCTTAACTTGACACTGGCATAAGATAAACGCAGGATGCGATGCTGCTGATTTATATGGTTTATTATTTCCTCCACTATTGTTACCTAATATTTAAGAATGCGAGTAAATGTTGCAGATGATCAATAAGTAGGGAAGATCTCTGGGTTTTGCTCTGAGGTCCTCAAGGAAGTACAAAACATGTCGAAGTCAGTATTATAATTTATATGCCGCTCTCTTGTCTGGTCAGATTCAAAGCCTTAAACTGGCTTTAGCTCTTGTCGTCCGGTACTTTGGCCCGTTCCTATACAGAATAGCTGCGAGCAGAAGGTATATATGTTGCAGTTGGCTGTTACTCCAGTAAAGGTCCAAGGCTTAATATCCGAGCACTCAACACTGTCAGTATCTTTGTTATGTGGTTGAGTTGCTGTCTTCGTCACATTCGAATAATCGGTTTAATCTGAATGTTCAGCGTGTTTTACATGGATGCACCAGCCGGTGGCTGGTTTGCAGAGAACACTATCTAGGCTGGTGAAAGCAGTGGCCTCTTCTTTGAAAGGTTCATATGGGTTTTGCTGCTGCAAATCTGATGTTCACTGGAGTAAGTTGTCGTCGAAGAGCTACCGAGAAAATACTATAACCCCCTATAATAATTATCAAAAGAGCCCAATTTCAGTCTTCTCCAGTTGCATGAGCCAATGCTGTTGGAACATGGTTGAGTTTCTGACTATTCTAATCCCTCCCTCTCTCTCTCTCTTTGACTACTGCGAAGTGGAGCCAATTTATACCACATCGTTTAAACCAACTTCTGAAAGCGTATGGCTTGGAATAAGAAGGAAGCTCTGTACGCCGTTCCAAATCATACCTTTCTCGGCCTTTTGGCTAAGATCAAGTGTAGTATCTGTTCTTATCAGTTTAATATCTGATACGTGGGCCAATGGCCCACACGATATTAAATTTATTTTTTTAGGGGGAGAAGGCCCACTACTGGAGCTTGCTTCAGGGGCTTTCTCGCGTGTCGCCCATGCGTTGCACTACTGCACGGGCCTGGCGCTCCCCACCAATATTAGTCTAATTTCTTTCGATCTTGTTTGGGCCCATTCGGCCCAGTCCATTTTATTTCGAACAAAGGTCACTTAATTGGACCTGCATTGCTTTACTGACTTGGTTTCACCATCTTATTGACCATAGTTACGCATGGCTGAAGAAGGAAATGTGATGGTGAACTTGGCGATGAAGAAACCGTGGATTGCTTCAGAGTTCAGAGCTATGATGATCAATGAACTCATGAGGGAATTGAGTTGGATTGCTTGGTAGGCAAGGGGCATAACATAGACACAACGATTGCTTTGTTCTTTGTTTTTGGGCTCTGAAATCAACGAATTTGAACCTCTTGTATCCTGGCGCATATGGGTTGGTTGTAGTTCTTCTGCATTTTGTTCATGGCCTTATCACTTATCAGCTGAAGAACTTTTCTTGCTAGTATTCAGGTCTGTGGGGCTCTTAGTTTCAAGCTTGAGACTTCCTTTGGTATAAAGGTCAATCAATGGCTCCAACATTGCGATACTCAATCAATATTGTATCATGCCTTCTCTGTAATTTTGTGAGTTTATAGGACTGATTAGAGAGATTTAGTAAGCTGATCAATTAATCAAATCATGTTCTCATTCATTAACCATGCAGCTTCACCATAGGCATCCAACCCAATGGAGTGGTCCATCTATTAGTTATGTAATGAAGAACCAGTAGCCATGAATGATTCTGCAGGTTTAAGAGACTGGGAATCTGAGATACATAATTAATGGTAAGCCAAGTTACAAGATTGGACATGGTTGTTACTTTAGAGATGTTGTTGGGTCGGTCTTCATTCATTGATATTTCTTCCACTCATTATCTCTACTTGCAAAATTCATTCACACGATCAGTTTCCTACTTATGCACATGCATTATCTGTGCTTGCAAATCCTTGTATTTCTTCTGCATTTCGCTCATGGCCTTGCCATTTGCCAAAGTGTCCTTTTTGTTGCCTTGCATTAAGGTCGAATCTCATCATACACGGCCACTTCTCCCCAATCAAAACTGACACAGGGCGACCATTACTCTTGTCTCGTTTGTAAACAAACTTCATTAGCGCACGAGAGAGAAAGAGATAAGCAGCTGAAGAGACCACTTTGTTACCACATCGGTTAATCAAAACCTGTTAACAGAAAGAACATGAAAATAAAATGAGAACTCCGGTGCCATCAAAGTGTTCTTAAATCTTCGGACAATCCAACCTCTTTGTAACTTTATGGTCTCAGTCTTTCCTCCCTTTGCTTGCCTGGTTTATATATCATCCAAGCTCGAGCAAAGGGGGATAGATTGGTTGACCATAAACTTGCTAAAGTCTTGTTGGAGGAGGTCGGTGACCATAAATCTGCTGAAAGCCTTTTTTGGCCCCATCCTCTAATATATGAGGTACAAAGATTTTTTCCAACAAGTTTTGAATGTGTTGTAAATGTAAGTATCTTATCGATTTATCAATGGTTATTATTAGATAGGATATATAGGTCATCCCAATCTAAGTGTAAGGGCTAGTGTTAGTCTCATTCCAGTATTCCACACAACCTCTCCTCTCCTCCCCAAACGAAACCGATTCGAGTTCATCGAACCCCAAAACCCTCATTCAGGGATCAAAAGGGAACAGATTTTCGATTAGAAATTGTGACATTTCATCAAAGCCTTCCTTCAATCATTCAAGCAAAAAAGGAGATAACTTCCCGTAATCTACACTATTATGAAGGTTTGGCTACCGACTATGAAGAAGTCATTTCGTTTGAAACAAAACAACTATAAACGTGTAAATATATGGTGTATGGTAAGAATTATAATTCATAACCTCGAGCTAAGGAAGTGTTGTTGTTATCATGTTCTTCTCCGTAACACGGAGCTATGATAACTCCCGACCCTCTACTTAACAATGATATTCATGTTGTATCATACATGTCTAATCTGACAATTATGTTTAGTTTATGAAACCGACTTCAAGCTTCGTTAGCTTATCACACTAATCATATCACAGTCTAGTGCATTTAGAATGTTCGAAAACAAAAAGATGGCCTCGATCGGTCCCTATAAATGGACACTAGAGTCTAGACCCTCTTGAAATGCACGAATCGAGACCGCGTTCTTCAAGGAGAATAGCTCGTTTCAACGCATGCGTTTCGGGTGTTTCGGATGATTCTCTTACTTCTCCCTTCATTGCACTACTATGAAGATACCGCTTTGTTACCACGTCGTTCAATCAAACCTATCAACGCAAAGGACGTGAAGTAAAATGAAAACTCCAGTACTGGCCAGTGGAATTCAGTCTTGGACAATCCAACCTCTTTGTAACAAAGGTTCTTCGTTTGTGTCTTCTCGCTTTCCTGGTTTATATCTCATCCAAGCTTGGGCAAGGTGACAAACTCAAATACCAGAAACTTGATAAGGACTTGGAGAGGATTTATCTGCTGGTCGATATTCGTTTGGATTTCGGGCATCTACAGTTATTCATGATACTAATTTCTATTTTTAACTTCAACAAATATGTTAACATTAAGAAAATTAATTAAAACAGTACAATTTCATGAAAAATATTATATGTTAGAGAAAATAATGATTATTTGTAGACAAAGTACATATGCATGTGTATAATCGGGCGGGTTCGGGTTGGATAGTGAGAAAACCATGCCCACCCATTACCCGCAATATTCGGATTCGGGTTTTACCCCTACCTGCTAAAAGTCCTTCGGGTTCGAGTTCTGCCCTACCCGATTAGATCGGATTTGGGAGGATATCCACGATTACGGATATTTTTGCCATCCCCACTTCAGTCCCACTATTTGTAGTTTGTAGAAGGCGTGGAGACTTTGGAATGTGAAACCAGAAGATCCTCTCATCAAAACATAGTTTTTGGACATTCATCATGTTCCAGGAAAAAGGTAAATCCACTGCTTTAGAGGCTCTGGAGTGCTTGCTGTCATTTGTTTCCCGAACAAGCTCCAAGCCAAGCAGCTGGACATTGAGAAGGGTTTCCATGGCGAGTGAGAATGAGCTTCCAAGAGGTGGATGCTTCGTCGAAGATGAACAAATCTGGCGAGGAGGTTCAACATCATCATCTCAAGAACCCGGAGCCATGGTTCGAGTACTTTTTTCTCTATTTGGGGCTCTTAGTTCCAACTTGAAACTTTATTTGGGACAAAGGTCACTCAATTCGCTCTTACATTGCGCTGAAGAAGGAAGTGTGAGTGACCAAACAAAACCACCATGAACAACCTACAATATATTAGAATGCAACAAAGGGTTACCAGTAATTACCAGGCAGCAGTAAGGCCGGTGAACAGAAGACAAAAAAAGCCCAATTCCAATCTTCTCCAGTTGGCCAAAGAGACAATGCTGCTGGAACATGGTTTGTGTTTCTGACTGTTCTTTGCTTCTCTGTCTCTCTTCTCTTCCCAATTTGACTACTTTGAAGTGGAGCCAATTTGTACCACATTGCTTAAAGGAGAATGTGAAAGCAGAGGGCTTGGGATAAGATGGAAGCTCTGGTCACTGTTCAAATCATACCTTTCTCGGCCTTTTGGCTAAGATCAAGTGTAGTATCTGTTCTTATCAGTTTAATATCTGATGATACGTGGGTCAATGGCCCACACGATATTAAATTTATTTTTTTAGGGGGAGAAAACCCACTACTGAAGCTTGCTTTAGGGGCCTTCTCGTGTGTCGCCCATGCTTTGCACTACTGCACGGGCCTGGTGCACCCCACCAATCCTAGTTCAATCCTTTTAATTCTCGTTTAGGGCCCATTGGGCCTTAGCTGAATGGTAATCCTTTTATTCATCGTTTTGAGCCCATTTGGCCTAGTTGAATTTGTCCGACTTGGTCGATATCTGCTGTTGAAGATTATTACAGACTCGCAGGCGAAGAAATCTGTTGCTGAATAAAAATAGCAGGCGTGGAGACTTGGGATGTGAAAAAAAATTATGTTAGCAATTAGTAGGATTGTGTGGAAAACATATGTTAAGTGGAGAAGGAGAGGGCCGATTCATACATGTTTGGAGCATCATTTCCAAGTATTAGTGGCACAATTCTTTTATTCTTCAGGTGGGATGTTACATTTTTATTTGCCTGTTAAACTATTTCGAGTAAAAGGGTTTGGTATTTAAGGTGGAAGTTGTAAGGAGAATCTAGCTATAGCCAACTCCTCGTGTATATGTTGGAAGAGCCGAGCAAAAGTAATCGATCATCGCGTTGTTATATTCGGTCGGTTTTGAATGACTTTACGTGTTTTAAAATTCAGTATTCTTTCTTATATGTTAGTTATATACTTTTTCATAGGAGGAGAAGTTGTGTGGGTCATATGCACATATAGACGTTCTCTTTTTTTGTCCATATTACGTTCTTCGCGAGGATTTAAGTTAGTTATATATGCTTGCTTGCCTGTGGGGTTTCCTCTAATCACAAGTAACATATTCATTGCTCCTCCTCCAAGAAATTACAACAGAATCAAATGTACGTGCTTAATCAACTGCCGTTTGCTAACTGTATACACACAAACACACAGGCGGCACCCAATCAACCAATCAATCGAACTTTATTTCAGACAACGTGGAGACAACGACGAACTTGTATAATTTGGACTCAGTACTAAGAGTTTGTCCTTACGCACGTTTTGTCAGTACCAATTTGGACTCGGTACTAAACTCATCAATGAATAATATATCCATCAATTTCACAAGACATTTGAAGTACGAATTCAACCTATTGTATAATTTGGACTCAGTACCAAGAGTCCGTCCTCACACATTTTGTCTTTTATTTGCGAGGAGGTGAAATTGTGTGGGTCATGCTTGTGTAGTCATTCTCCTTAATGTCAAAATTATGTTCTTCGCGAGGAATTAAAGTTAGTTATATGTATATGCTTATATGTATATGCTTGCTTGTTAAGTAGCCCTCGTAATTCTTTGTTAGAGTAGTCAAAAGAATTAAAGGAAATACTACATTGGTGGGAGAAGGAAAGTGAAAATAGTTTTTAAGTTTGCTCTATTTCTTCGGCAGGTTATCATGTAGGCGACGGTCGAGATCACATGGAGCAGGGGTATTCTTTTCCTTAAGGGTTTTCATTATACAGGTTTGCAAGATTCGTTCTTGATTGAATTAATGGCTTTTTGCGATGCTATTCGGTGGTGCTCTATGAAGGGACTAACTAATGTGGAATTTCGAGGGGACGTCCAAAGAGTCACTGACAAGATTAAGAGGTCGGAAGTGCAGCATGCTGGTGGAGGGAGTATTTTAGAGGACATTGGAGGTTTGCGACGTCAGTATACTTGCTTTGAGTGTCTTTTGCGGGTAGGAATAACAACTGGGTAATTCATGTAGTGGTTAGGAAAGCCCTTTCGTTGTTACCTTCGAGTGTTGCTAGTTTTGATTTTAGACAGTGGTTATTAATTATTTGAGTTGTAAACTCAGTGATCTATTGGTTCCTGGTAATACAAGTGAGCTTTTGACCAAACAAAAAAGACAAAACTTTAAAAAGGATGAATTAAATGCTATTTTTTGGGTTATCATTACTTTTTCATCAGTAGTCGATTATCGTTACTAAAACAAACCGACTATAATTTTATGAACATTCAGAGGCCACCAGAAAAACACTACTGCCCGACCACAATTACTGCTATTATCAAAATCACAACCATCAACACAAAAGCTAAACACAAGAAAAAAACAGTATTGGTGTGATCAAACAAACACTACTACCAGATCACTACTACTGCTACTACCAAAATTCAAGGTTCTTGACTTGGCTTTGGCATCTCACAGACATTCATGATTGCGTAAGTATATATATCCACAGCTGAACGCATGGATCCTGCCGCCTCCCAAAGTTACAGAAAATTGCTTTCTTCTGCACATACACCACGAGAAAACAACACTCTTACACTCCTGTCCTGTGATGTAACAAGAAGTCCAATCAGGGCTTGGAATGTATCTTCAGTCCCAAAATCGACTGCTGTCGAATTGGAACCAGCACATCGATATCGACAGGCAACTCGGTTCAAAGGAATGCCACTCGAGAAGGCTAATCATCGTTGTCGTCAGCATCAGCCCACCAAATCCCCAGCTGATGAGCTACTGAGAAGAGACCATGCTATTCTGACTAATACTTTGCCGCTTTTTTTTTTTAATTTTTTTCCTTTTCTTCTTCACGTTGGATGTTGTGGAGTGGAGCCAATTTGTACCACATTGTTTTAACCAGCTTGTGTAGAGCACATGGCTTGGAATAAGAAGGAAGCTCTTGACATTGTACAAAGCATACCTTTCTCGGCCTTTTGGCTAAGATCAAGTGTAGTATCTGTTCTTATCAGTTTAATATCTGATACGTGGGCCAATGGCCCACACGATATTAAATTTATTTTTATAGGGGGGAGAAAGCCCACAACTGGAGCTTGCTTTAGGGGCTTTCTCGCGTGTCGCCCTTGCGTTGCACTACTGCACGGGCCTGGCGCACCCCACCAATATTAGTATAATCTTTTTCGCTCTAATTTTTGGGCCCATTCGGCCCAGTCAACTTTATTTTCAATAAAGGTCACTCAATTAGACATGCATTGCTTTTGAAGTGTTGGAGTGCTTGTTCATTTCTCAATCAGGCTCCAAGCCAAGTAAGTCACTAGTTGCCAAACTAAGTCAACAATGTTGAGTATCTGCTCTGCTAGTTCATCTCTATACCTTGCCACTTGGTTATGGGTTTTCCCAGCTTAGAAACCAGCAATAAAATATAACAGCAACTAGTTTTTTTTTCCACATGTGAGTCTGTAACAGAAAAATGGCAGCTGCTTCTTTCTTTCTATGCTTTGCTCCAACAGTTTGCCTGCTAGATCACACCCTCTCTAGTTTCGGAGATCGATGAGCAGGTCTGCAGGTTGAGACAATCCCAAGCTGTGCATCCACAACATCATCAATCCATAGGCCGAAATCTAAATGTTATCCAGGATGTGTTTTGACCAATTACTCCCAACTTCCAACAATCCAAAAAGTCTTGATCAAGGACCAAAAGTGCTTCAACGAGCTATTGGATGGATCTTGGGAAAAAAATCAAAATTGCGCATCCAGGGAATTGAACCCCGGTTAGTACCGTGGGAGAGTACTATTATACCACTACACTAGATACGCTTTTGTTTATTTAATTTATCAAGTTTTGTTTAGAAATTAATAACTGGGACATCATGAGAAGTGAAATGCATGTATGGGCTGGGCTTTAGCCCAACTCAGGTACCCAATCTTTTTTTCCTATCTGACCCAGACCCACTTTGGACCGGAAAAAAAATACGATAAATTGGGCTTGAGAATCGATAATAGAGACCTTTCCTCGATTCTTTCTCCATAGGCCATAGCCAAGGCAAAAGCCAATCAACGTTCAAACAAATACATTACAAAATAAGAATAAATTCGAATTTTTAGCACATCAATTTTGAACTTTTTTTTACCGACTAACCTCTCAAGTCGGAGATCTTGTTGTATGTTGTAAGTTTTGGATTGGTCTCATCATATAAATACAATTTTGAGGGTGTTATTATCATGAAATGGAATGTCGTATTCCTAATGGGAGCACCTCCCCTATTTTTTTTTTTGATTTCCTTGAGTGAGATAGGGAATAGATCCTCAAAATTATAAGAAACAAACTTTGCATGGCTTTATTCTACATGCATCAATCTTGCCTGCTTAATTGAAAAGAGACCCCGAGATCCTTTTCTTTTTTCAAAATTAGACGCATAAATTAGAGAGTACGAAAAAGTTATATGTAAATCTTTTTTATCTCACAATTATATAAGAAGGTAACACGTGTATAGCTTTATCTCACAATTCATCGATGTTGTTTGAATATTTATTAATTATCAATAAATGATAGATACATCGAAGAAAAGTTAGGTATATAAAACTCATCATCAATTTGATAACTAAATTTTTTTTAAAGAAATTCCCTTTCTCAAATTACCTTTTAATTTTATTCCTTTGTTCTTTTTACTCCCCAATCTATTCTCTCTCCATCTTCTTTTTTCATAAGTCTATTTTTGTCTGGCTATATATATATATATATATATATATATATATATGTCCACCAATTCACCTCTCCAACATTACCCAATTAGATGGCAAGTTTTGTCATATTTCTCTACATAAGATTACTAATATTTTGTGTATTGTGGAGAATAAGTTCATGTATTTAGTGGATGGGAGATAGGGGGCCATTATGTATATGTAATTAATGACAAGAGATATTATACTCCATTATCAATAGAACAATTAATAAGCAAGATAGTGATCACAACCATCATCATTTGATTTGCCATGTAAAGGGGAAAGGAATTGGGTCTTTGATCAATTGTGCTTAGCCTTTTGAAGGAATATTTCTGAGAAATCCAATGGCTCCTTCAAGCTAAATAAATGAAAGTCAGATTCTATGTCCCAATGTTGATTTAATTATTGAGTCTCTCGCCTAACTTATATTGTGCGCATTTGTATTAGGATGATGAATTGGTTTTTGAAATATTTTACAAAAATCAAAGGGTTCTTGACATGTTATTAGAGACTTTGATTGAGATGTCGTATGTACGGACCCTATCAACCCCAATACTAATTGTTAATTATTTTATCCACAATATATGAAGGATCTTGAGTAAATTTCTAATCTATTTGATGGAAGTGTACAAAATAAGACATTATGGAGAAAAAACAAGCATATTGTTCCTATAAACATTCCTTGGAGTTATATATGCAAATTCTAGTAGAGTGAGCACCAAGTTTTTTTAGCCCTAGCTAGGCGACCCTAATAAAAAACCCAAGCATGAAGAAGAATATCCTCTTGTTTTGCATGAGTTCTATTCCCATTAGGACTAAAGTAGTGTTTAGTGTATAATATAATATATGTACAGACCCATTTGGAAAACAAATTATTTCACGTTTTGTTGCGATGAAATTCCCCACTAATTATCATAAGATACATTTAATAAGGAATCTTTTAGAAGAACTAAGCCTCCTAATATAACCAAGAAAGTTATAACTTTGATCTTTCTCCTAAGAATGAGAACAAACCTCCTCTTGTTCACACATAAATTAGGGATGGCAATTATTCCCGCATATGCAACTTACCCGACCCTCCTCAATTAATATAATATCAAAAGGACAAATTGAAAATGATGAGTTTAGCTGATGAAATTAAAAAAAAAAACCCCTCATGATAGGAACAAAATAATATGTTCTAGATACATATTTAATTTACTAAGCACAAAGTCCAAGTTGTTAAGATTGAAGAGAAAATTGGTGTCTATGTCATTCCTATGGATAAAATGACTAGAATACTGATAGACTTAATGAATGAACCAATTAATAAATTGTCCATATAATTGAATTGATGGATTATATATGACCGATTCAGTACTACAACCTAAAAAACAGTACGATAATATCGATAGATCTATATGTTGCAATCCATCCACCTTTGATAGAGGGCTAACAACTAGCTAGGGATTTTGGGGAGATGGATCGGATAAAATAGTTTTCATAAGAATAAATCCCAATAAGTATATTTTCTTTTTTGCTTCCTTGTAACTTGTAAGAAAGCTTTTCCTTTTCCATGCCCCCAAAATTTTCTACATTAAGGGGACAATCGCATAGTAGACATGTGGAGGAAGCATTGGATGATTCTGTATCGTTAGTTTTTCTAGGAATCGATGAGGGAAACAAAGGAGAAAGAGACGGTAAGAAAAGAGAATTGCAAATTCCATGCATTGTTGTGATTTTGTGATTGTGGCTTGTTGTATACAAAGACTTTGACGAATTTGTATAGAATTGCCAAAAAGATGATGGGGATTTGGAGCAACTTTACAGTTGGTTCACCTGGAAGAGAGGATAACTTTTTACTATTGATTGGTGGGTTAATTAATCACGTATGGAATAATATTATGTACCTTTGGTTCTTCCATCTTTGGGATAAGATTTACAATAGGGCAAGATTGGAGTATATGGTATAAAATCTTAGTCTTATATTATTAACTACGTGTCAAATTCTAGTTATATCTGGCATGATATATTGAGAATTTAGTAATGAATGTGACAATTTTGGGACCTTAATTTGTGCTGGATATTTTCTTCGCGTTTTGCGACGGGTAAACTACGGCTCAAGTTAGGGTGCATAACTTTAATGTGCTTAACATGAGTAATCAAATCTGGACCATTCCTTTTAAGTGGTTGTAGATCTAAGAGTTGTGGATTAAAGGCATTTTATTTCCCATATTTTTCTTAATCGGAAGATTCATGGGATTCAGATTCGGAAGAAGGCTCCCTCGATATCCCATCTTCTGTTTGCGGATGACAGTATTATATTTGGAAAGGCTACTTTAAAAGACCGTGACCAGCTAAAAGAGATATTGAGAATCTATTATGAGGAATCTTGACAGTTGATAAACCTTGATAAATCTGAAGTTTCCTTCAGCAAGAATGTTAGATGCAGCAGGAGATTGGAGATTTGTGGGACTCTAGGCATTAAAGAAGTGGCTAAACATCCTAAATACTTGGGACTCCCAACGGTGGTTAGTAGATCAAAGAAAGCTATCTTCGCTGACATCAAGGAGAGAGTGCGGAAAAAGCTTAAGGATTGGAAAAATCGAACAATGTCTCAAGCTGGGAAAGAAATCTTGATCAAAGCAGTGGCACAGGCTCAATTTCTCTATCCTATGTCGGTTTTCCTTCTACCTGATGGTACGATTCAGGAGATCCAAAGTTTGATATCCAATTTTTGGTGGGGTTAGAAAGGAAAAGAAACTAAAATCAAATGGATCTCTTGGGATGAACTTTGTGATGGAAAGGAGAAGGGAAGTATGGGATTTCGTGATCTGAAGACATTCAATTTGGCTATGATGGGCTACCGCCCTAGCTATATTTGGAAAAGCATCATGAAAGCCAAAGAGATGATTATTGATGGTTTTAGGTGGAAGGTGGGTAATGGGAACTCGATTAGAATCTGGGAAGATGAGTGGATTCCTGGAAAATCCTTTTTCTATCCGGACCCGTTACCAGCTAATGAGCTTCCGAAAGATTTGGTTAGCTCTATTATTGACCAGCATAAGGGGATTTGGGATAGTAAAAAAATCAGGAGTTTATTCTCTGTTCAAGATCAGTCATTGATCACTAAGATCCCCCTTAGTTCCCCTCCAAAAGAGGACTCTTGGGTTTGGAAAGATTCTGATTTTGGTTCCTACACTGTTAGGTCGGCCTATTTCTGGATTCGCAACAAGCAGCAAAGCAAGATTGCTCGTTTTCATAGCATTGACGAGGATGACTCTGAGTTCTGGAAAAACCTATGGAATCTAGATACTCAACCTAAAGTGAAAAATCTTCCTATGGAGAATTTGTAAGAATATCTTACCGGTTGGGGCAAATGTAGCAGACTGGATTGAAGGTGCTGGAGACGAGTGCCCCTTCTGCAACCTCAAAGAGTCTCAGATGCATGCGCTTTGGGAGTGTGCTTGGATTCGGCGACAATGGCAGGGTTGCGAGATGAAAAAAGCTTATGAGTTAGGGGAAAACAGAACTTGTGTTGAATGAATGAAAGAGATTTGGAAGGTTTGCAGTATTGACCAAATTCACAAATTTACCTCAATTCTCTAGTTCTTATGGAAAGAGAGGTGTAATCATAAGTACAACAATCACAAGTTTGTGGAAGAGGAAATTATTCCCCGGGCGTTGTCCTGGATTGAATCCTATCTCGCGGCTCAAGATCCTTCGCACAGATCTACAACTTCTGGTGCGCGGCAAAGTGGTCCCCAGGTAATCCAACAATGGAGTCCGCCCCCAAATGGCGTCTTTAAGCTCAATTCAGATGCGGGAGTCTTTCAAAATGGTGGGATGGGTTTCAGATGTGTATTCAGAGACTAGAGAGGTGCTTTTGTTGGGGCTACCCTGAAGAAAGAAAAGGGTTCTTGCCGACCGATTGAGGCCGAGGCTAGGGCGTTGGTGATGGGGTTGGTTGAAGCAAATCGAAGAAGTCTGAGCCCCTTAATTGTTGAATGGGATTGTCAAGCGCTAATCTTCAAGCTGAAGAAGAATGAAGTGGATTTTACGGAGCTGGGTAATTGGTGTGATGAATTCTGAGCTTGGCGAAGGTGAACGAAGCCATTTCTGGATCTCAGGTGGTTTGGACGTTTGTTGGAAGGAAGAAGAACATGGTTGCTCACTGGCTGGCTCATTCGGGGTCGTTTTGGGATCGTCAGGTGGTGTGGACCGAGAATCCTCCACTTTCTTTATTAGCTTTACTAGAAGAAGAATTGGGTCGAGGCCCATGTATTAACTCTTGAACTCTTTGAATCGGATACAGGTTCCCATAAAAAAAAGATATTTGCTTCGCGTTTTGCGACGGGTGAACTACGACTCAAGTTAGGGTGCATAACCTTAATGTGCTTAACATGAGTAATCAAATATGGACCCTTCCTTTTAAGTGGCTATAGATCTAAGGGTTGTGGATTAAAGACATTTTATTTCCCATATTTTTCTTAATCGGATCATATCTTCTTCATTCTAACTCGGATTTTTCCCCCACAAATGGAACGAGTTATTTGTGCTCTACAAAATGAGATGCATTTTCAATATTTTTTGAGAAAAAAATTGCATACCTCTCGTTACCAACTCCAAACATATGGTATCTCCTTCAATTTAAAGTTGTTTTTCAGATTTTTTTTGCACAGAAGGAATGATTTAATCATTGATCTATCGGATCCAAAAATTTTAGTGTGAAAATTTTTCATACCTCGTTACCAACTTCATACTATACTATACCACCTTGGTATGCTCTTATTTAATACCAATCAAGACCATATGGTATAGAATGGTAAAAAATAGCTCAATTTTTTTTGTTCCAAATATATAACAAAGCGAATATCATTTTGAATAGCACAATTACCCTTATCTAACTGTGTAAAATTTAAATTCCGACTAAAATTGAGCAAGAAATCGTCCGTTAAAGATTAAGAGGGAAAAATTAAAGACATTCCAGGAGAGAGAAGAGGCGCTGATACTACGGATTGTGATTGGATTATGCATGGTTATACACCACAAGATCATGCATGACATATTGACATCCATTCCCGGTAAACTACTTTCATATGTTACAATAGTGACAAAAAGGAGAGCTAATTATTATGGAAGTTTTTCATTCATGTTTACAACATCATATTATGTTGTATTTACCATTATCATAAATTTCTCTTATAGTGTAAGAAATACTAATTATTGTCTAACTAATTATTTTCTAATTATTTCTTTGAAAATGTTGAAAACAAATTTTGTGTGGAAAATCCTTTCTCACATTTGGCAAAAGTTTGCAAATTATTGGAAGAAAACACCAGAATCTCTCGGATATTGCAATTGTCAACACAGTTAGGCTGCTGCATGGGTAGGAAAAGCCCCTTTCTTTGGCTTTGGCCAATAACTTGGCAAACAAAAGATGCTACCTAGCTATAGCTTCTTCAATTTCCAACAAACCAGAAAATTTCGTACTTATGAGATCCCTTTGCAAACCCTTTTTTTTTTTTATAACTTGTGTCATGTTTGTGTTTCTTCGCCACTACGGCTCGTAGTCTCCCCTTTCCCGCACATTTTTACGGCCTTTCTCATTATAGTTGTCAAACCAGCGGGTACAATTGGGTTCAACCGGTATTGAATAAAAATCAGTTGGAATTTCACTGGTATGAAGCGGTAGTCATATCCAGTTAAAAGCATGATGAATAATTCTCAATTGGCTTGCAATTTAATATTTTTTTAAATATGAATGAATATTATAGGTAGATTGTCTTAAAATAGATTGTATAAATGCACAATTCATTTGATGTTAATCGTTTTTCACTTCCTCATATGTTTTGTCAAAACCGGCATAGAAACTAGTTGTGTCCCCATCGGAGCATGCTAAACCGATTTAGCAACCGTGTTCCTAACTCCACAGAACTTCATGTTCCCATGTGTTTCAATTCCACGTAGGATATATTAGGGTAATTAAGCTCAGGCCTTGATAACCACACTTAGTTTCGTTTAGACTTCAGGATTACTGACAACGATTGTGTTCTCGAACTGTCAAGTCATTATCAAGGCCCTCCTATGCCGAAATTCGATATGACCGGATAAGCGATGGGTTGGATTTATTGTTGCATTTTGAGTATGTGATATTTGAGTCTTCAAAATATATTACCATATACCGTCTGTTTTTTTTATACATTAACGAAAGAAAATTACAATATCAAACTTGTCAACCAGTTATTTCATTAACCCAAACCCCTTCACATTCAAAAGGGTGAAAACAAGATATATCTCGAGTTTTGGTTTCGAAAAAAGAGTGTTTAACAACCTTTTGTATCTAAAACTTGTTATAAGAGTAACAAATTGTACTACGGTTAAAGAATCAAGTAGTTCAATTAACTCAATTTGTCGAGAGAAATTCAAGAAAACGGTATACTCTCCCCTTCTAGTTCTTAAAGCTAGTTTACAAACTTTGAAGCCTTCCCCACCATATTATACCATGCGCAAATAGAACCATACTTTTCCATGAACATGTCGTTTTCAAATGAGCTCCCACACACACATCCATCCTTCTTTCTCTTAGCTAGAATATGTACGTCCCAATCTCATTTTCCTATCTCTTTCCTCCAAAACAAAAACAAAGATTCCCTACGGTAGGAGGCAGCTTGATGGAGGCTTCTCTAATCCTAATTAGCTGGTTTTTGTTGTTGATATGTGTATAGATTTGAAGATTCCTTAAGAGATTTATACTAAGGAACCACCTTCTATATATCTTCTTCTTTTCCTTTACTAATCCATTGCTCAAGATGCCAACTTTCTGAATTCCACACTTACAGATAGGATAACTGAGCACGGAAGAAAAAGATTAAAAGAGTTTGTTCTGATACACGTTATTAAATCGGGACATATATAGCGTACGTGAACATATCGAAAGTAACGAAACACACATAATTCTTCTAACATGTTATGGATGTGAACTTCTTTTTTTTTTTTACGAATATGTAACTTAGCTATCTAGTTTTTTCATTATGAAGATTTCGACATAGAATCTTTCTATTGTCGTCGAAAAGCTCTTTCAGTAGTCTATGATGAGGAAAAAATGAACTTTAGATCGCGGATCAGGAACCTTCTAGTCTTCTCTAATCAAAACCATTCGCTGCAACAATCGATTCCACATACCATATATGGAAAGAGCTTTAGTGGCCTAACAATGACACCCAAATCAAAAGAGACAAAGAACAAAAACACATAAGAGCTATAGATTCCCCCCCTTCCTCCAATCTTCTCATCAAGACTAATACCAAAAGACACAAAGCATTCAATATACTACCCTATCATCCCCATTCTCCCTCTCACAAAGAGTGATGGGAACATCATTTCTACCTCACAAGTCACAACCAAACAACCCCTTAGCTAAAAAAAAAAAATCCCATTTCCCATCCTCCAGGACTTTCCATTCTCCACATCATAAAAATTCAATGCATCCATCCATCCATCCAACCAAACATGCCCTTAAATCAAATATTTTATAATATATAACAATCTTAATTCTCCTCATCCTACGTGGAACACACAATTCCCTCCCCTATAAATATCCTCCCTCCCTTTCCCCAAACTCATCTCTCCTATAACTCTCACAACTACAAACTCAAGTTTGGGGTTCTAAGAGCGAAACGACGTAGCTTTCTTCGATGTCGGGGGTGTGGGTGTTCAAGAACGGCGTGGTGCGGCTGGTGGAGAACCCGGCGAGCGAGTCGGCGGCGGGGGCGCGTGGGAGGAAGGTGCTGGTGCACGCGCCGAGCAACGAGGTGATCACGTCGTACGCGGTGCTGGAGCGGAAGCTGTCGGAGCTCGGGTGGGAGAGGTACTACGACGACCCGGAGCTGCTACAGTTCCACAAGAGGTCTACCGTCCACCTCATTAGCCTCCCCAGGGACTTCAACAGGCTCAAGTCCATGCACATGTACGACATCGTCGTCAAGAACCGCAACATGTTCGAGGTCCGCGACCTCTAGAGGGTTCGTGTGTGTTTCGTGTCAACTGATCGACGATCGATGATCAGTTGGCGCGAAATCGATCCATCTCTCGACTCTCCTCCACCGTGCTCCTTTTTTTTTCTTCTTCTTCCCCTTCTTCCTGTTGGTATTTGGTTTGGATTGAATCGTCAGTGTATTTGTGCTTGAATTTCTTCTTCTTCTTTCTTTCTTGGATTCAGGGTGGGATTTCAATTCATGGTTTAAGGTTTGTAGTAGGAGTAGTGGTCTAATGTAAGATGTGCAATGGGTTTTTGTTGTTAATTGTGGGGTTTTGTCATTTTAGCAAAGGTGTGATGTTGTGAATGAAAAAAAAAAAATCTAATGTTTGTTTCTGCTCTAGTTTGTCTCTTTTTCCTTTCTCTTATGTTTGATGATCAATGACTCGAGTAATTAAAACGAGAAAATTTCGTATATGATGTCAAACTCATCCCGAAAACACTTGTAAAACAAAGGAATCAGCCATAATCTCCACCGAAACTTAGTTTCATTGTGACGATCAACTATGACTACATACAACCTACACTGAACACGTTCGTACCAATCTACGTGTGCGTATATATTTTCTATACGGAATTGATTAGCTAATAGTTACCACCTGAATGAATATGTACCTTTGTATGTGTGATTGTGTCTGTGTGTGCATATAAGGAAAGAGTCCGGCAAGGCCAGCTAGGTGATGAATGAGACAAGTCCTATAGCAATTTGCTATTAGGTTTTCTTTCTTTCTTTTTTTTGGTTTTCTTTCTTTGAAAAGAAGAAGAAGTGAATATTGAATTGAATAGCTGTAGGCAGGGGGAGTTGCATTATTATTTGATTGGATTTATCATTTGGAGATGGGATGTGTGGTTGGGATCCCATTGATGATTCTCTCTTCCAAAGTAGTACTGCTTTTGCCCAAATGGAAACCTTTCCCAAAAATGGAATTTAGAAGTGACATATATATTTGTACGCATGATAAATTGCCCTTGACAGACCCACAATTTTCCCAGATTACTTGTGGCTAGGTTTTTTCACAAAATTTTCTTCATGTGGGGATTGATTTGATGTATCAGTAAGGTGAATTATTGATCTCTAGGGGCATCCTCTTTTACTGTTACGATAGTACCAGGGTGAGATTTTGTTACGGTGACATTAAATAGGTATCAATAAAATGGTCATAGTACAAGCAGAAGAAGTAATTTGCTCAAATTCTTCAAATTTGCTCAAAGTCAAGATACATAGTTTCTCGATAAACAAACCAAGAAAAATTTTTTTTTTGGTGCTTGAGGGATGGGGATTGATTTTAGAGTGTTTGATATATATGTTCAATTATGGATCTTATACTATTTATTAATACATAATCAAAGAAAAATTAACTTATACCTATATAAAGTTTGCATAAATCTGAATACCATACGCTTAACAAATCAGCGCGCAGTCAAAATTCAGATACAAAATCTCCCGATCATCAAGATCATCAAAATCTATGATACCCATGTATGTCAAGAAATGCAACCACCTTAATTAAGGATAATAGTATTTAGGTTCATCTATCTTCGCGTTGCTTGGGTCTAACGCAAAGAGGTCTGTACTATTATCAAAATAGTATCCAAATTTATGATACTTGCATTATATTAAAGTATGACTAGTATGATCATACTATTGACGAATAAGGATCTTTGAGGCTGGATTAGAGAGAAGAACAATTAAGAGAGATCTGAGAGAGGGTGGTCGACGGCCGAAAGAGACTAAGAGAGATAAGGAATTTGGCGTAAGAGAGGGAGATAGAGAGAGAGATTAGGTTTAAAGAAATTACACCATAAATTACTATTAAAAATTACAGATAATTCGCTTGAGCTACACCTAATTTCACCCGCTAATAATCAAAAACTACTAATGATTTCCAAAACACTCCATCAATCGAATACCTAAAATTTATGAACATATAATTTGTCATGGAGTCATATTGTTCATTAGAGTCCAGCAATTAGATGTTTTTCTTGAAAGGGAAAAACCATAAATGAAAGAAAATTATATTTTTTTGAAACAAATAGAAATTGATAAGATTTTTTCACAAATCCAAAATTATAAAGATGTTTGATTCAACTTAGGGATGACAAAATAAGATTTAATATTTGGGTATTAGGCAAACCCAATTTTTGGGATATACTCATATCCAAATTTTTTTTAGTTTCAGTCTAAATTGGACCCACCATAATATTGGATTTCCAAAAGAAAATGGGTCTCAATTATCAAATTTATAATGAAATTTCTGTCTTATTTTTTTGTTATGAAACAAACAAAACGGTGAAAACACCTACATTAAAGGTGTATAATTGAATATATTTAATAAAATGACTGATATTTTTTTTTTTATACAATCTATCTAGATCCAATTAGATTCATTTAAGTTTTACCCACATGAGATGATCCAAATAGAACCAAAGTGAAACCAACTCAAATCTAAAACCATTTAAAAAGTGCATATAAATCCATTTGGATCCGACGGTATAATTAACTAATTAAGGGTAATGCTCACGTATTGTTGACCTGAAGAGACAGTTTTCAAGACTTGTTATATTCGTCGAGTCAAAATTTGACTATAGGAGACTCTTGAGAGAGTTATGGAGCTGCGGTGCTGCATGGTAGTACGACGTTGCTTTCACTGCCCATGCCCATGCAATTTCTTTGCATTGCATTACTATCGCACTATATATCCAGCTAGCGAATCCAACATAATTAAACACGTGCACAATTTGAAAGACCTAACATTTCACACCCACTACGTACCAAAATGGAAAGAAATTAAAGTGTTATAAGCTGTCTCACACTTATAATCGTGCATTATTTTATCATCAGACGTGTTGTTGTACGAGCACGTGAACGAATTGATCATTAGATGTGTTCAAAATAAGTAAAGTAGTACTATCTCATTCGAGTTGTTAGATATGAGCCGACTTTGATCATAACATAACAGAAAGTTTTACGTTGTAATCAATCAATGTTGTCTCATCCTCATCCCGATATGGAACAATCAAATGAGATCGAACGCCCATTCTCAAGACCTTCCCCCACGGATACGGCTATCGCATTCCAACATCAATTCCAACTATATAAAGCAAGCAAAACCTCCAAAGAGACACCAAAAAACTCGTGTGGATAAGGCCCAACATCGAATGCATGTAATTTCTTTCCATATTATATCAACACGTGGAAAAAATCTAGAGACGAAAGAAAGAAATTAAGCCCCACCCACCCACTTCAATATATACACATTATACGACGACAAGCTGGAACTGATGGTCGAATATCGTCGGGCATGGCAACTTCTACTGCCATGCAGAGAGAGAGAGAGAGAGAGAGAGAGAGAGAGAGAGAGAGAGAGAGAGAGGAAATGGGGGGAATGGGCAATTTTTCGATCGTTTCATTACTTTTTCATAGTGACAAGTCGACGGATCGACGGGTAGGGGCTAAGATGGTGATGGGGAAGTAGAGGAGAGTGATCAAGAAGTCGAAGGAAAAATCCAAAGAAAGGGGAGAAAGGAAAAAAAGATGAGTTTATCCGAATGTATATCCATCCATATTAGTTCCAACGATATGGCAAGGGAATAGGAGAAGAAGACGATCGAATAAGACCCAAGAAAGGAGGAGGAGGAGGAGATTATGTTATGTCCACGATATGGGCTATGGTGGGAAGAGAGAGCTAGCAACTAGCAAGATCCCCCCTTTTGTCCTCTAGTGAAGTTTGGATGCATGGCGCAAGATCGGGTTTAGGGTTTCTTGAGGGGTTACAATAGGTGCCAAAGGAGAAGATAAGTGAGAATAATCAATCTTAAAGTAATCGTTATATCGTTGATATTATCGGAACATAACCCTAGAGTGTAAAGGCACGCAAAAGGGAGTTTGATTGCAAGACCCACCCGTTGAGCAGCAGGGACGAAAGTCGACCTTAGTGATCCGACGGTGTCGAGTGGAAGGATCGTCGCTCAAGTTAGTTTAAACTTCGGCGGAAGAGATAGAACGCAAGATTTCCGTCATTTTTTCATATTATCAACCAAATATGAAGTAAGGTATATCCATGCACGAAACAAACTTGTTTTTCTACTAGTTACCCAAACATAGGGAATACTTAAACTTGGGGCTACTTTTCGAATGGGAAGGTGGAGGAGTTGTTTGGCTTTGGCATATGTGACGAATTTTGCATGCTTCTTGACGGGTAAGACGTTGGGTACAATATTCACTACTATTATATATAAAAAAAAAACAACTTCAAGGAGATAATTATCTTAAGGTTGTCGTTGGCGGGCTGTGCAAACTTTCCTTACAGTCGTCCTGTAGTTGATATTGCCAAATAGCTCTATTGGTTTAAACTTTGGCACAAGAAATATAACTTGAGATATTTCCTTTCTTTTTCAAATTACCAACCAAATAGGAAACAAGGTATCCATTCATTCATGCACCAACTTGTCGTTCACTAGTTACCCAAAGTTAGGGATCAATTCTTTAAATTTGGGGCTTAATTTTTTATGGGGAAAAGGAGGGAGGGGATGTTTGGCAAGTGATGACTTTGCATGCACAAAACGCCGTCAAAGTTTGAAAAAGTTTTGAAAAAGTTATGGGGACGGGGATGACTTGGAATATTTATCAAAGCTTTTAGCCAAACAAGACTTTCAACACGCCGAGCCGGCCGTCAACATGAATTTCAATCTATTTTAGATAATATTATATTTGAAAACTATGAATTAGAGGTGTTCAAATGGTTATCATGATAATTATCAAATTAAATAATGCTAAATTAAATTCTATTAATAATGGAATACATTATCATAACCAAACCGTCCTAACTCATATAACAACCAGAGTAACCAAACTAAAACTAATCAGTTAATTGGTTAACCAGATTAAGCAATATAATATTACATTCTCATGAAGTCATAATTTTTTCGGTTAATGCATCTACTCACAATTTATATAATGAATTAAACATAAAAATCAACGTATAGATATAGTTAACCCTTAACAAATATATATATGCAACTAATGCAATTATCTTACCGTCAATAGAAGTATTCACCTAACAAACATATATGCAATGGTATATGAGGTTAATGAATTGGTGTATTTGTGTGAATTTACTTAGTCTCTTAGCAATTATCATAGGCTAAAAACACCTTCCTTTCAAGTTTTCATCCAACATAATGTATGAGTTTTATCTAAACTAGACGTCTATATGTTGTGGTCTACACTTCTACAAATACAAATATACAATATATTAACAATATTGAGATTTATTTTTTATGAGCCTAAAGGGAGGAGCGTTTGACTCTTTAGTGGTTATGCAAAGTACTAAGTATGTGTATATAATATATATTTGAATATATGGCTAATTACTTAACTGGTTAATTTGGTTTGAGTGGTTAGGAGTGTCTGAAACCAAACAAACTAAAAAAATTTAACCAAACCAAACCAATTATCCAAATTAACCAAACCAAATGATCCAAATACCACTGGTTAAGACGATTATCATGGTAACCACTTCGTTTGAACACCCCTACTAGGAATACAACAACTTTTTCCATAAATATTTTGATTTGAAAAAGAATTTTTCAAAATGTGGTCTCTCAAAATTGATATCTCAACTTATTGTTCGAACAAGCAAATTGAGGTGTGTACGCTGTAATTTGGTTCGTTGGATTGAAAAACACCTAATTTGAGAGCACAAGTCAGATTGAAGAACCAAAGAGAGAAAAAGATAATGGGAGAAATATGTACAGATATTGTAAGAAATTGAGATAAAATGAGTCTAGAACAGGGGGGCGGGGCAGGGGGGCGGAAGTAGATACCCATGCCCCGCCCCACGCTACTGCGGGTCGGGTAATACCCGCCCCATCGCGGGTCAGGTCGGGTAATACCCTCAGGGCGGGTTGAAATTGCCATCACTACTCACCTCTAGGTTGTTTGTTTGATAATGGGCTTTGTAAAGGCAATAAATAGGAAAATTAAAGAATATGAAGTCAAAAAATCCAATGAGTCATTGTCTTATTGTAGTTATTTTGGCAGTCAATGATTGGCTTCTTTTTAGTTCTCTCCAAAAATAAATTTTCACTATAAAATTTATACACCAATCAATCAGGCACAAGCGCTAAAAAGGAATTGGTATCTATTTAAAAAGGCTACACATTAATTTTCCTTTAATGCAATTTCAATTATTTTCTTTTTATTTTTGACATACTTGTTCATGTTAATGATGTACACTCAAACTATTCATGTTTCACAGATGGTTTTTATGATTCTTGCGATTAAATTATTCAGGAATTATTTGATTTTTCATATTGTTAAAAACACATTATAATGAATACATGCATATAATTATATGTGTATTGATAAATTTGATGTAAAAAATTATATCTATGGTGTATGCGTAAAATTTAAAAACTACTAAAAAACGATGATATTTCTTTCTAATACAAAACAATACTTCTGTCCTTTGATGTTTAAATGGAGGGTTAATTACATGATCCGGAAAAATGAAGGATTTGCGTGAGGAGTTAAAAGATGTTGTGTTATATTTGATGGATGATTTTAAAAAGTCTGTCAAGAAATTGAAATGATTTCGAGAATGAAAAAAGATGATCGAGTTTTTGGTGTCTCGTTGAAGGAATCAGGAGGTTAGACTAATGAATAATTGTGTTGAAAACGAATCGAAGAAAATGATGATTTAGAATTGTTGAGGGTGTATGAAGAGATGAATACAGTTTCCAGCAAAATGAAGTATTTGCGTGAGAAGTTAAAAGATGTTGTCGAATTTGATAGATGATTTGAATAACTCTATCGAGAGATTGAAGTGATTTCGAGAACGAAAAAATGGATTGAGTATTTGGTGTCTTATTGGAGGGATGAGGTCAGACGGATGAATAATTGTGTTGAAGACGAATCGAAGAAGATGATTATTTAGAGTTACCGAGGATGTATGAATAGATGGATACAATTTCCAGCAAAATGAAGGATTTGCGTGAGAAGTTAAAAGATGTTGTGTCAGATTTGATGGATGATTTGAAAAGTTTGTCGAGAAATTGAGGAAGAAATGTGAGGGTTGAGATGCAGCAGGCAGAGGAAACTTGGAGGGCAGCGAAAGCTGTGGTCTGGTAGTTGAAGGAACCTCAGGAGGCGAGGCATAAACATGGTGAGCAGAGTGGAGAGAGTTGTTGAAGCTAGATTAGCAAGGGAGGACGATGATGGCGTATGTGGAGGGGTAGGAAAAGCGGTTGCTGCGGCAGCCTTCCAGTCAGCAATCGACAGAGAGATAGATCTAGAGAGGAGGGAGGGGGATGGGAGGTGGCAGGTAGGGGTGGCTATTTGGACCGGGACCGGATTAAAAACTGGAAACCGGACCGTATAACCCGGACCGAGACCGGATCGGGACCGGATAGTAAACAATCCAATCCAATCTTTGGGTTTAGATTTGAGGTAAAAAACCGGATAAAGACCGGATAAGACAGCTCAACACACAAAACTTAAAGGTAATTTGCATAAACGGTCACAAACCTTTGCACTTAGTACAAAACTTAACCAACTCCTCACCCTTTAAGGCCTTAGGCCACTCAAATCCCACAATCTCAATGTAAAATCAAGACCGAATTGGGATCGGACCGGATCAAGACCGGACTGTATCCAATCCAATCTTCGGTCCTTATATTTTCAAAAAGACCGGACTGGACCGGATCAATTTGGGCCAATTTAACCGGACCGGACCGTATAGCCACCCCTAGTGGCAGGTCTGAATAAAATTTGGATGTCTAGGTTTAGCTATTTGGGTTTTGCTTTTACGGGAAGGAAAAATGAAATTTTGGGGAACTTCCGCCCGCCTTGTCATTTTTCATTTTTTCACTTTCCCTCCACAACCACTTTTCCTTTGAATAATGGATTTTCAATGTATTTCCATTAGAAATTTGCAAATACAACGGTATTTTCATTTTTGTTGTTACTAATCTGACGCCAACGACGGAAAGCACTTAAGTCGTTAATATTAGTTGTTAATAGGCAATTTTCTTGTGGTGATCATTGTTATCTATTGTGACAAAATACTTTGTCATTTAAACAATTCAATAAGACATAATATGATAAAAGCTACTCTGACGATATAGTTTGTCACTTTTGTGTCTCTTACATCCCGATATGGGATGCCTATTTTGACAAACTTAATTGTGACACGAAATATTTGTCACATTACTCACTTTAAATGACGAACTATTCTGACTACAAGAAATTTGTCACTATTGAGTCTCTTACAACCCGATATGGGATGCCTATTTTGACAAAATTAATTGTGACACGAAATATTTGTCACATTACTCACTTCAAATGACGACTTATCCTGACAATAATTTTTTTTGTCACATTAGACATACCAAATAGGACATATATTATTTTTTTCATATTACCGTACCAATTGTGACAAACAAAAAATGACAAAAAAATGTCCTAATAGGCCGAATTTGTTGTAGTGTAATGAAGGATTTGCGTGAGGAGTTAAAAGATGTTGTGTCGGATTTGATGGATGATTTGAAAAACTTGTCGAGAGATTGAAATGTTTTCGAGAACGAAAAAAGAGAATTGAGTATTTAGTGTCTCATTGGAAGGATCGGGAAGTTAGACTGATGAATAATTGTGCTGAAGACGAATCGAAGAAGATGATTGTTTTAGAGTTGTCGAGGGTGTATGAAGCGACGGATACAGTTTCCAACAAAATGAAGGATTTGCGTGAGGAGTTAAAAGATGTTATTTCAGATTTGATGGATGATTTGAAAAAATTTATCGAGAGATTGAAATGATTTCAAGAACAAAAAATGAGGATTGAATATTTGGTGTCTCGTTGGAGGGATCACGAGGTTAGACTGATGAATGATTGTGTTGAAAATGAATCAAAGAAGATTATTGTTTTAGAGTTATTGAGGGTGTATGAAAAGATGGATACAGTTTTCAGCAAAATGAAGGATTTGCGTGAGTAGTTAAAAGATATTGTGTCAGATTTGATGGATGATTTGAAAAACTCTATCGAGAGTGAAAAAAGCTAATAGCGCGGATAAGAAGATAGAATTTCTTGACCATTAATAAATCCAATCTCCTTCTAATTAAGAAATTGGGTTTGGGATGATTTTTAATTGTATTTTTTTGTCACAAGTTGGTCAAAACGCATGACATACTGATCCAATATAACGATTGGATGCTCACCAAGAAGTTGTTGGGTGGGGCTCCAAAAGTTGTTGGAATTGAAAAAGATATGTTTCCACTTATATTGAAAACGATAAGTCGAGGCCTCTAAATTCACTTGCAGCTGGTGGCTACATCTCGTAATTCTTACTACTGTCCAATGGGAACCTTTTATATACTGAAGGTTGGCATTAGCACACAAATCATGGCTTAATCCAACCACATAGACAACAAGTGTAGAAATGATCAGCGCCCACAATCCTTCTCCCAGCCATCTCTCAACTCTATAATAGACGGTTTTTTTTATATTGTCTACCTCAAGACAACAGCATGAATTGAAATTAGATCACTCCGTTTCGGCTTTTATGAAGAGATATAGTAGGCACTTACTGTATGTCATTCCCCTACCGAGCAACACAACTATTGTTCCGTGGTGCTTCAAATTTAAAGTCAGAAGCTCGAACTACTCAGCAAATCTTACTACTGCCCAAGGTGAACCTTTTATATACTGCTTGTTGGCATTAGTCGCTCTTTTTTTTATGAGTGTGACATCATTTATTGATTTAGAAAAGAATAATACAAAGGAATGAAAAAAAACACAGAGACGAGCATCAAGAGTGAGAACTGCACAAATCGTGTTACTCAAATCATGACTTAATCCAACCACAAAGACAACAAGTGTTGAAATGATCAGCACCCACAATCCTTCTCCCAGCCATCTCTCAACTCTATAGTAGACTGGTTTTTTTATACTGTCTACCTCAAGACAACAACATGAACTGAAAGTAGATCACTCTGTCTTGGCTTTTATGAAGAGATATAGTAGGCACTACTGTATGTCATTCCCCTACCGAGCAGCACAACTATTGTTCCGAGGTGCTTCAAATTTAAATTCAGAAGCTCGAACTACTTAGCAAATCGCTCAAGAGTTCTCTCATTTGCAAGTTTGAGTTTACAATCTTCTCTCATGTAAATTTTTTTTGTAGTTCGATGTTGGATTGTTGTCTCAACCTTCAACGACTTCTGGCTTTTTCGATGTTGCCATCTCTATTTCTTAAGGTAGGAAAGATAATAGGAGGAAGGAAAATTTGGAGTGGAAGGAAAATGGGTGGGGGTGGGGGGGATTTTGGATGGGGGGAGGGGGGGAATTGCCTCCATCGTTGCGGTGACGTGAACTTAGGCCTGGCTAGAAATAGGGATGGCAATCAAACCCATGCCCACGGGTATCCGACCGCCCCGGACACAATCAACACGGGGAATCCCCGCATTGACCGGTAGAGGTGGCAAATGGATTGGATTGGTGGGTTGATGGATTGGATTGGTGGATCCATGGATCAAATGGATTGGATCTAATGGATTGGTGGATTCATGGATTGGATCAAGTGGATTGGTGGATTATCCATGAATCCAAATGACATCTTCAACCAAGGACCAATATGTAAAATGTAAAAAGTTTAGGTACTAAAATGTCATAATGAAAAATTTTAGGTACCAAAACGTAATTTTCCAATGATATTTTTCGTAGAAAAAATTAAATTTTAGGTACCAAAATGTAAAAAATAAAAATTATAGGTACTAAACCGTAATTTGCCAATGATCCATGGATCCAATCCATGAATCCACCAATCCAATTGGATTTGGATTAAATGGATTGGATTTAAATGGATTGGATTAGGTGGATATTTTTAATGGATTGATGGATTGGATTGGTGGATTGGATTGAAATTGCCACCTCTATTGACCGGGTATGGGGCGGGTATGGGTAAAACCGCAAAAAGTTTGATGGGTATGAGGCATGTATGGTTTTAGTCTCCCCCGCCCCATACCCATACCCGCCCCGCCAGAAATATTTCTTCATATATGAAAAATATGTGAATTAATTTGTAACCTATCAATAATAGTGAGTATAACTCAAGAAAAATATATAGTAGAAATGCAATTAACTGGCCACCCAAATCAAAATCTAATTTCTTTCTCAATTTTCCTTTCACTCTTTCACTTTTTCCCCTTGTTAAGAAGATTATGTTAGTTAATTATTACTTAATAGATGTATCAGAGTAGAGAATAATGATTTGGATGACATTGTACTCTACTATGATATGGATTAATGGATACTTTAGGATAAGATGGTTTGAATCGTATTAAAAATGATTGTCTCTTTGTCGACTTCATGATATAGTAGGTGTGTTTAATGTTATAATTGAAAATCTACATGTAAAATATTCGGTATTATAATGCTGAATGTACGGGGCGAGTATTACCCATGGGTACCCGAAATCCATGGATATGGGGATGGGTTTGCAAAACCTTCCCCGCATGGGTATGGGGAGGATATGAGGATGATTTAGGCAAATCCGCTCCAAACCCGCCCCATTGCCATCCCTAGCTGCAAACCATAATTCTGAGTTTGACTTTGATTTAGCACGTAAGACTACTGGTCATAGAAAATCACCCACATTCAGTTTGTTTGAAGGTTATATAGATTGGATTTTATCGTCGCATTTCTTATCAATCTATTATTGCTTTACATGACAACATAACTTGATCATGATACATCAACAGTACACACATTATTATTTGGCCACACAGCATATATAACTCGATCCATTCCGTTTTCCCGGGCGGCGAACCAACTAGCCGTCGCGTACAAAGAACGCGCCGCGGTTCTTGGCGACGACGTCGTCCATGTGCTCGAGCTTGAACTTGGCGAAGTCCTTGGGCAGATAGATGAGTAGGGCGGTCGATTCTTGTCGGAACCTGAGGATTTGCGGGTGGTCGGCACCGTACTTTTCCCACCCGAGCGCCGCCAGCTTCTCCTCCAGAACCGTGTACGACGTCACCTCCTCGCCGGTCGGCTCGTCCACCAGCACCTGCCGCCGCTGACCCTTGGGCTTGGGCGGGTTGTCGACGAGGCGGTAGCCGCCGTCCTTCACCTCCCACGCGCCGGCCATGTTGATGATGGATTGGATTGGGAAGGGAGGTGCTGAAGAAGTTAAGAGGAATTGAGATTGATGTGGTTGTTTATTTATAATATTAGAGGAAGAAGGTGCTTCCAAGTGTGATTGGAGGAAAGTGGGATGGAAATTGAGGTTGGGAAGAGTATATATTCTATTCTAGAGTAGAGAAAAAGGATAATGATAATGTTAGTTTTTTTTTTAATTGTGTGTGGTTTTATAATAAAAAAATGTGGTGGGGGAGGACTATGCTATCAAAGTTTGGGAGGTAGCTATGTACAAATCTTAATTTCTACAAGTATCTAATGGAGGAGAGGCAAATTGTTACATGTTTGTGACTATATCGTTACGATAAAAAAAATTACAGCTAATTACTTCCAACAAAAGAACCTCTCTTTATGAGGTGTTTGATTGGTAACGACCTTTGAAGAGCTATTTAGGTCTGAGGGGAGGGATGTAGGAAAATGTAGAGATTGCGTAAAAGGAAACGATTGATTCAACTAGTATTTAGAGGGGAAAAGTCACCAAGATCTAGAGGAAGAGAAGAGTTTTATAGACCAGAGATCAAGAGGAAATAAGATTGTATCGAGAGGAGGTGGATATAGAACGAGACATATAAAAGAAGGGTTGGACGACGCTTAAGAAATGTCTTTTCACGCGTTTCTGCTCTCTTTGATTTAGCAATACCACTGCGGTTTTTTCAACTTATGAATCACATGGTTAAATTACAAGGTAAATTTACCTCTCTCTTCTCAATTGTGATTCCATTTTTAGTAGCATGTCAATAAATTACATCCATTGACATGGTAGAGTTTGAGTAAGAAAATGGTAGTGATTAGTGAACATGTGCCTCGTTGTACACACAAAATCAATATTATTGTGATAATAAACTACTTATTAGTGAGACTGGAAGAAAGTGATAGACATTGAGATTTGGAATTGTATACATTCTTATTCTAGGGTAGAGAAAGGAAACATGCTCATGAAGACGTACTATTTAATTGATTGTGTATTGAGGGTATGGTATAGTTGAAGTGGTAAGAAAGACATTCAAAGTTATAGAATCTCAATAATTAGTGTATGGAGTTAAACTAATCAATACCAAATCAATAAAAGTTGAGCATTCTAGAGGTTGAGAGATTGAGTAATGGCTATTTATCTTTGTTTTTATATTCATATATGGAGAATCTTTATCGGCAGTCACTTGGGGAAAACTATTGTAAGATGAATTTGATCACCACTTTTTTTCCATATGATCTATAGAGATGGTTTATCTCCTATAATTAGGGAGAGTTATGTCTGTTGATTGCATTTTTTAGGTACTTGTTGGCTATTATATAGAAGAACCGAAATAATCACCTATATTAAGGTCAGATTGAATCTTATAGACACGAATAACTTCTCATATATTGAAGACCATAAGTTCACTTAGAGCACACCCATAAAGAGGCCAAAATTGTGACCGACTAATTAGCGTAACTAGGCCCTTACTTATCATTGGCGAACACACTTTCCATTTTCCTCTAATGGTCTAATTAAATGTATTATATGCTTAAATCAAAAGAGAATTAAATGGGAGAAGAACCTTTCATTTTGTATGTTAGAACGATGGACCGAGTTTTATGCGAGGAGATAAAAGTGTACAAGGCCTTATAAAGGCGGCCCATTGGGCTTCTTCAAACTCATAAATCTAAACCAACAATAAACTCTATCAAGAATATACAAATTTTTGTTTTTAACCTTTTCCCCTTGATATTCATTTTTTTTTTTTTGACAAGGACCTGTAAACAAATTCTTAATAAGGCGAAGCTGTAACCATATCAAGCTGCAGCTGATTAACAATTACCATCGGCGGTCTATCGAACCAAACCTCCCGCTCATTCCAACGAGTCTTCACGTGTGCCATGAGATGAGCTGCTTCATTAGCGCCCCTGCTAAGGTGCTTCCAAGTTCCATTCCCTGTCCCTTTGAGATAGCGACTAATGCTGCGACAGATGACTCCTGTCTCATCTTGAACCATATCTGGGTTATTCATCTTATGGATCAGAGTCATGCAATCAGACTCGAGGACGGCATTTTGAAAATGGAGTTGGAAAGCCAACTGAGCCCCGAATTCCGCCGCCAAAGCCTCCGCTGCTTCTGGTTCCCACGTGCCAAGGACTTGTTTCGCTGCTGCCACAAGAAAAGCTCCTGTCGAGTCCCTAATGACCACACCCAACCCTGCTCCTCCTTGCTCCAAAACACCCGCATCAGTACAGACTGAGACACACCCCTCTTCCGGCTTTATCCAGTTGGTCCGCCCTTGTCGAGGACTTGGCAAAGAATCCGATTGCTGATGAAGCTTGTAGTCGGCCAGCAGGGACTTTGCGTGTTCCGGGATCTCCTCTTCGGATGTCTTAGCCCCATGAAACATGTGGGCGTTTCTCTCCTTCCAAAGATACCACAACAGTACACACCAGCCCTCAACTTCCGCCTCCTCCCCTGCTTCAATCACCTTCTCAAACCAGGTATAACAAGACTCTGTTCCTCGCAGCTCAAACAATCTTGCCACTTCCGATGATCGCCAGATTCTCGCTACCCATGCACACTCATAGAAAATATGAATTTGATCTTCGGGCAAATTACAAAAGGGACAACACTCACTTCAGCATGGGTTCCATTCACTCACTCTCACTTCCGTCGGTAGTATGTCTCTAACAAAACGCCACAAGAACTGCCGCACCTTAGGTGGGATCCTCAGTTTCCATAGTCTCTTCCAGGTTTGTATTTCACCTACGGCCACAACCCCATTCCTCAATTTAAACCCGGACAACCATTGTTGGTAACCATTTTTTATTGTATAAATGCCCACCTTACTATTGTCCCATATAAGCTTGTCTCCTTCACCATTTCCTCTCAAAGGGATTTGTCTAATTGCTCGGCAAGTGTCTGCAGGAAAACAACTTTCTAGAATTTTGTCATCCCATTCCTCAAGCTCTGGATCGATCAAATTAAATCACGGACATAAGCATCAACAGGGAGGCTCATGGGAACTGATGTGACGAACTGATCCCCAGAACCGGGAATCCAATGATCTCCCCAAACTCTAACATTCGCCCCATTTCCTACCCGCCAACGAAGTCCATTGTTCAGTAGCTCCTGAGCACTCAGCAAGCTACGCCATACAAAGCTCGGTCGATAGCCCAACACAGCATCTTGAATGGAGGTGCGCTTGAAGTATTTTGCTTTAAGGATTCTCGCAATAAGTGAATTTGGCCTCTGTAAAAGATTCCACAGCTGTTTTGCTAGGAGAGCCTCGTTAAAACCCCGCAAATCTCGAAACCCCATTCCTCCTTCCTCCTTTGCATTTACCATCTCTTCTCTTCGTAGACCATGCGCCCGCCTCTCTTTACCTTTCTGGCCCCACCAGAAGTTCATGATCATACTGTGAACTTCGTCGATCGTCCCATCAGGTACTCTAAACACCGACATAGCATAAGTAAATTGAGCTTGAGCAACTGACTTGATCAATACTTCTCGGGCTGCCACAGACAAAGTTCGCTCCTTCCATCCATTTAACTTCTTCCTCGTTCTTTCCTTTATCCCTTCGAAAAGTTCTTTTTTTTACCTTCCCGCCTCCGTAGCTAAACCGAGATACCTCTGGTGTTTCTCCACTCGTTTCATCCCCAGCACCCCACTAATTTCTAAACTCCTGTGCAAGGCCACGTTTGAACTGAAGAAACATCGGACTTCTCAAAATTCACCATCTGGCCTGATTCCAGTTCATAGTCTGTAAGAATCTTCTTCAGCGCCAAGCTTTCCTGGACAGTGGACCTGGCAAAAAAGACACTATCGTTAGCAAAAAACAAATGGGATACAGCCGGAGCTCCACGAGCCGGTTGGATCCCATGAATTTTCTTCTCGCGAACTGCCTGGGACGTATAAGCCGACAAGCCTTCTGCACACAAGAGGAACAGATAGGGAGAGAGAGGGTCTCCCTGTCTGAGGCCTCGTCCAGGCACAATCCGCGGGGACTGGTGCCCGTTAATAATGGTGGAGTATGTGACCGAAGTAACACATAACATGATTAGCTCTACCCATCGCTCGGCAAAACCCATTCTACACATCACGCCAGCCAGGAAATGCCACTCAACACGATCATAAGCCTTTGCCATATCAATTTTTGCAGCTAGGATCCCCATTCCCTTATTCTTCTTTTTCTTCTTCATTGTATGGAAGCACTCAAAAGCTGCCATCACATTATCAGAGATGAATCTGCCTGGCACGAAAGCACTTTGTTCTGGGGATATCACTTTGTCCAGGAGAGTTTTCAGCCTGTTCGCTAGGACTTTGGCTGCAAGTTTATAAAGAACATTACAAAGGCTTATTGGCCTGTATTCTTTGGGGCTCTGCGGAGTTTTCATCTTCGGAATCAAAGCAATGAGAGTGTGATTCAAGTCCCTCGGCATCTCGGCTCGTTCAATGATCCCTTTTACTGTCTGAATGACATCGTCGCCAACAATTTCCCAATAAGATCGGAAAAAGCTCGCAGACAAGCCGTCAGGACCAGGGGCTTTCCTCCTTCCTGTTTGCTTTAGCGCTGTAAGAACTTCTTCATTGTCAACTGGTCTAGACAGCTAATCGTTATCTTCCCTAGTGATGGACTGAGGAATGGACTCGAGTACCGGGGTGGACTCAGGGATGCTGCCCGCGGTGAAAAGAGCCCTATAATACTTGTCGAAACACTCAAAAAGCTGCTCCGTCCCACGGCACCACCTGCCCGATTCATCTTGCAATTTACGAATTGTATTCCTCCTACGGCGGGCAGAGGCCTTGTTATGAAAATAACTTGTATTCTTATCTCCATCTTTGAGCCAATCCGCTCTAGATCGCTGTTTCCAGTAGCTTTCTTCGAAGTCCTCCAGTTCGGCCAACTCTTCTTGGAGTTTACAGATTTGTTCCTCCACCGCACTTGTCCTGGGCACTTTTTCCAACTTTCTCAAAGCTCTATGAATCTTACTTTTCCGTTTTGTAAAATTTGGGAAAGTGTTGCTACTCCAAGCTTCCAGCTTGGTTCGGCACATATTAATCTTGTCCATTACTCCATGCATTCCTGGTGTCAACCAAGCTTCTGCCACTACCTTCTTACTATCCACATGCTTAGCCCAAAACGGATCAAAACGAAAGCTCCATCCCCATTTTGGCTCTTCGTCCTCTTCCCCAAGGGTATCACAGAGGATGGGGCGGTGGTCCGACCGTGTTTTATCAAGGTGAAGGACTCGAGCATTGCTAAAATGTCCCAGCCATTGATCCGAGCCAATAAATCTGTCCAATCTCTCCTCTATAAATCTGCCATGTCGACGTCTATTCTCCCACGTAAAGTGATAACCCTCGTACCCAAGATCTCGTAAGCCCGAATCAACGAGGCATTCGTTGAAATCCAGTATCCCTGCTGCATTCCTATCCGGACCACCCTTCTTTTCCTCATTGGAAAGTATCTCATTAAGATCACCACCGCATAACCAGGGCCCCGGCCATTGAGTTGCCAACCTACGGATCAGTTCCCAAGTCTGTCTTTTTTCCCCAGCGCCCGGCCAACCATAAATACCAGTAAACCTCCAAACCAAGTCTCTTTCTTCCGTAATCTTCGCATCAATGAAATGAGCTGATGCATCCATAATTGTCAAGTTAACTTCCTGCTTCCACCAAACACTCAATCCCCCTGCCCTATCACCCCATGAGGTATCTGTAGACCAGATTTCACCATCTTCAAAACCCAAATCTTTCCGGGTTATTTCATTCTCAGATTTTGTTTGTTTGGTTTCCATTAAGAAAACCACTTGAGGGGAAGTTCGTCGTAGTAACGACCGCAGTGCTCTAACTGCTCGCTGACTCCCCAACCCGCGGCAGTTGTAACTCAAAATTCTCATCTATTAACCTGTGGGGATAGGTTCCCCGCACCATCAGAAGTTTGGTTGTGTGATTTTTGATCACCTATTTCTCGAGATTCGTTGTCCACTGCCATGGTATCACACGTTGGGATTCTACTCTGTGTGATTTCCGACGGCTTCTGTAGGGTGCGAACTTCCCTTGCCTGGACTTGAATTCCTTTTCCTTGCAACGGAGATCCGATCGGAGTGGAGAGTGGTCCAGACCCAACAGCTTTGGTCGATGCTTCAGCATTTGTTTTCTCATTAATTTGTGCCTCCTCCCTTTGTTTTTCCTTTAGATTTCCCTGTTTCGGCTGGTGCCCTTTCACATTAGTGTCCAATTTGTTTGTCCCATGGGTTGTCACGTCTTGTGTTGCCTCCACTTTATCATGCATGTTGGTTTCTTCAACGTGGAGAACATCAAAACGGTTTCCCCCCATGCTCTTTGTACCACGCTCCTTCTCCACCTTTTTTTAACTATGTGGTTTGAAGAATAACAGTTTATATCTCTAGATTTTATATAAAATAAAAAACTAACTCTCTAAATTATTTAAAAGGATTTATAATGACAAAAATAATCACACCAATCCATATACAGAATCTCTACATAAAAGATTTTATCTCTAGACTTTATAAATTTGAAATCTGTAAATCTAAAATTTAAAATATAAAAATAACAACCAAATAACATAACATTTTGTTAATCTCTGGTTTGATTCTATATTCCAAATCTTATTCTCCAAACAACTCATAAAGAGTAAAAAGTTGGAAGAAGGAATTCCACCACAACTCAATATTATGACCTGGCAACATAATTGTAGTGTACAAGTTGTCAAACCGGTTTATACTGGTACGTCGGATTCACAAGTGGAATGATTCTACCGTGATATAACTAATTTTGTGTAGGTTTATGCCGGTTTTAATAAAATTTATAAATATAAATTTGAATAACTTATCTTAAATTATATTTCTAGAATCTCCTTTCACATTTAAATGTATAGTTTTATAATTTTATTATTCCCATAATATTGCTAGTGGGAAGAAACAGAAAAAATGGGTTACTTTTTCCATATATAACCTATATACTTTCTATAATAACATTTCCATAATAATAAAAATAAAAAGAAGTTAAGAAAGAAAGTGGTAAATGCTCCACTGGAAACCCCCATTTCCAGGTGGTAACATAGTCTGGAGGTGAAACCGCTGATATGATTGACTCAGGATGTGAGAGGTCCTGAGTTCGATCCCTAGCGACAGGCCCTTTTCAGATTTAGTAAACCCCGCAGTCATAAAATGGCATGTGGGGTTGAGGTTCCTGAATTATTAAAAAAAAATTCCTATTGGTTTTTGGTCCATCCGTTTCTTTTTTTTTTTTTTTTTTCTATTCCCCGTCCACTACTGCGGGCTGCAACCCATCTCATTCCCCTTTCTAAAAATTTCCAGCATGCGGATGTCTAATTTCAGAATCAAAAATTTCAGTTGAACCATTCGAGAATTTCTGGTTTTGACCGGCATTGACCAACCCATAATACCAGTGACATTCTAGCCGGTTTCATGAAAGACTATCAATTATGCAAAATTTCAATTGACACGAAGTTGTTCCCATTAAGTATGTATCTCGTACAAGATTAAAAGAGCCAAAAACTCACAAAAATATTGGAAGACTAAAATAAGGCATCATTCCATAAGTAAAGGATTGTAAAGTGAAATAGATAGAACGACAAAGCCAAATCAAAACAAGATCAGCGTTTCTGTTTGAATTTGGTTGCTATATGTATAAGTTATGTGGAGTTATCGAAACAGAGAAAATGAAAGGAAGTCTCACTAAGTATTGGAAGAGAAAAACAAACTATCAAGCTTCCTCGCCATGGGTAAACCATAACAACGCACGAAACAAAACGAGAAAAGAAGAAGAAGAAGAAGAACAAAGTTCTATAATTATATGACAGATGATGCAATACAACACAAAAGCCCATACAGTTTCCCACTCTCCCGCAGCCAATCCCTCCTCCAGCCGGTGAATGACTCTATCATCCCATCGCCGGCCGGTTGTTCAATCTGTTGCTTCTCCAGAATCCAAAACCTCTCGTCCAGGAAGAACCTTACATTTTCCCTATATGTGTATGGAGTGCATGCAAATGGCAATTACCACAACCACAAGAAGCGGTTTGCCCCCCCGCTTAATTGGTGCAATTGAATCCACCGCAAATCGAAAGCCAGATGATGAGGACGAGGAGCAACAAGATTCCGAGAACGACCAGCTTGATCTTCATGTTCTGGTACCACATTTTCCGCCTGATTTGTGTCCCTTGTCTCTTGTATGTGTGTGCCTGACAGAAAGAATTTCCAGCAGAAAAAGGTCGTTCTTACTTTCCTGGACCAGCAAGTGAACTTGTGTAGATGGGCAAAGATTTGATCCTTTCTTTTACCTGATCTCGCAGATTTTCGGTCTTGTCCACGAGGGTGTTTATGTTCTCACCTCTCTCGATTGCCTGAAAAGATATATGTAAAAAGAAAATGGAATTAGTTTGGTGTTTGGATAGAATGCTGACCAAACTTGGCTTTTCCAGCATACTACTGTCCCAGCATAGGAGCTGAAGAAGGGATTTCTTAATTTATTACAACTTGAAATTCCTTCATCATTTGCCAATAATCAGCTGAAGAAGGGATTTCTCATTAGCAAAGCTAGTAGTTTACAGAGTTTTACTCGAGTGGATGCAATTTCTATTGTTCACTAGAAAATCCTATTTCTAGAAGGAAAACAAGACAGCGGTTCAGGTTTCCCACCAGAGACCAGAGTTTTCAAGAAAAGGGTTCACATTACCTTGTCAATGTTGCCTAACATTATGCTTTTGACTTCCGAAACCTGAGCTTTTACTTTCAGTAACTTCTCAATCTCTTCAGCATGCTCAATAATATACTTCATATGCTCTTTCATAACCGGCCTGCAAAAACAAGAACAACGACGAAACACATCATCAACACTATAAAATTTGCACAGCGAAATTCACTATTCAGTCTTCCAGGTTGTCACCAGTTTTTTTCCATACCCGAATTCCTTGTTGAGACTTTTGGCCATAGCAGTGCCAGCTTTACCACCTCCATATCTTTGCTTGAAGTCTGCCTTCATCCGTTCCAAGAATGCAATCGAGATCTGCTTGCTCATCGCCTCTTTCGCAACAACACAATAAGCTGGCAACAAGCATTCAACAACAAAGCACAGCTAAGTAAGCATCCTTCAAATTGCACCTTAAGGATACATATAAACTCCTTTTTTTCAACTTTCCCCTTTTGGTTCTCCTATAACTCTACCAATTGCAGGAAATTTTTCAAATTCAGACCCCGAAAAGTTCAATCGATGATCAAGACCAGCATCCAATTCGTCCAAATTTGGAAGAATTGAAGGAGTCCATATTTGGAAAACTGAAAACAATTGACTTAGCAGACCAAAGCCCAAGAACACTGAAACAAACAACTACAAGAATCCAGCAGTAGAACAACCATGGGAGCTTCCATTGCATGGCCCAATCCAGCAATGGAAACGCCCAACAAGAACCCCCAATTTCCAGACTTTCACCTTAGCAAATTGCCCTAGTTCAATTCCACCATTGCATTCCCCTAAGCTCTCGAAGGAAACACTGGCGAGTTCTTACCAATTCTAGCTCCGGATTCGTCCTACCACTACTAGATCCGCATCATTCCACTAGAAACAAACGGAAGACGACGAAACAACGGGTGGGAGAGAGAGAGAGAGGTGGGGAATCAGGGCTTACCGTAGCCATCCTCGACGAGGAAATTGAAGGTGTGGTGGTCGCAATTGTAGGTGAACTTGTCGTTAGAAGAAGGCAATCTCTGTAGGCACTGAGCAGCGATCGCCGGGAAGTTGCCGGTGAACTCGGTGTACTCTGCCAGCACCACCGTGCCTCGCGCCACGAAGCTGTAGATGAACGATTCCTGATTCGTCCCGGCCATGAGTTTTACTCGCTAATACTGCCTCCGGGGGCGAGTTCCAGCTACCGCGCCGCCGCCGAGGAAGCAAGAGATTTGACGAAACGGGAGGGTTTGAGAAAGAGAGGAGAAATGAAGGAAGGAAGGAAGGAAGGAAGAAGGAAATGGCTGCTGAAATGAGCTATAGCTTGGTTGCTAGGAATCCATTTTTGTAGAGATCCTCTTTCTTTCTGCTGCTTCTTCCTCCTCTCTTTCTGCCTTTACTACGAAGAAAGAATGTTCCTTTCCCCTCAGACGGAGTCGCAGGTGGAAATTGGAGAAAAGAGAGGAGAGGAGAAGAGTGGGGGTTGGTGCTGGTAAAACGACCGCGTTTGGTTCGAGAATGAATCGGCGTTGGACGACCGTGTTAGACTGACCTGGTAAAGTGGAACGACTTTGGTCTCTTTTTATGGGCTCATTTGGAGGAGGAAATTTACAAGTGGGATTGTGTTTCTCAAAATCACTGTTTGATTTGATGTTTTTGCTGATAGTCATCGTTAATTGCATCATTACTTGTGATCAAACCTCAAATACACTATGGGGTCGTTTGGAAGTTGCGATTGTTAAATAGATGTATTGTTGAGAATGCATGTATAATATTATACATGTAATTGTCGAATTGGATGCATTGTAGAATACATTGTTTGGTATGTGTGATTGTGTATGTCGCATCAGTTAAAAGCTGAGACAAAACAATCTCAATTCAACTATCTCAACAATCACAACTAAAAGTTGAGATATAACAATCACTCAAAATGAGTGATAGTTTCTGTCACATCACAGAAACAATCCATGTATTGTTTCTGCTAAAAAAATAAAAAAAATGATGCATTATAAACAATAGATGATATTAATATTGCATGGACCATTAAAATTGCAGTCAAGTGCATTAGAAGTTGGTACAAACAAATTGTTTTTTCGTTTAAATAAATTAAATTATAAATTACATTATGAGAAATACATCCAATAAAAAAAACTCAAGGTTTGAATTCCTTCAGTAGCATTGCATTTAGTTCAAAAAACTCAGCCTACGTTGGCCTTTATATAAAAAAGGCAAAATACACTTGTATAGCCATAAGTTTCACGTTTGTGACAAATATAACCATAACTATCCGAAAACACAAAATAGCCAATTCCGTCCATTTTGTTAATGGCGTTAGATGACGGTATGACTTGACCGACGGAAAATGCTGAGTTGGCAATTTATGGTCCCACCAACTTACGTGGAGTAACACAAAAAAAAATTAGAATTAAAAATTAACACAAAAAATCAAAATTAAAATATAGAAAATATAAAACCCCAATCCCTCCGTCTTCCCTTCCCACTCACCGACCTTCCCAAACCCTTCCAGTCGACGAAAGCATAAAAAATTTCACTATCCCATCAACCCATCAAACCCCAGCTGCGCTTCTCTTCTTCCCTAGAGTGGTACTAAAACTGAAGAAGCACCCAGAAACGCCGCAAAACCGGCCGCCGATGGTTCCTCGACATCGACGAAGAAAGAGAGAAAGAGGCGCAATAGATTTTGTGAAGAAGCTGGAGCAGGACCCATCAGATCCCAACTGCGCTTCTCTTCTTCAGGGCAGCTGCAGCGCCGTCGATGGTGACATCTGAGGCTAGACCAGCATCGTACATCGAGTTCTGCTACTCCCCCTCTTTGCTCTGCTTCAAATATGGTATTCGGAGGTTTGCCGTCATCATCCTTCTCATCCTTCTGAGTCTCCTCAAGCTATAGTCGGCGGATCTATATCCTCCCCACCGTAACCCGTCGCCTGTGTCCAAGAATTTAGGAAACCCCCAATTTTAATTCGTAGTCTGACTGACCTATTGCTGGAAGTGTAAGCAAAATTAACAAAGTTCAAGCTCTCGGGGCCTTGAATCTGACCCAGGAACTTGATTTCCGACATCTGCAGCGAGTTCAGCTCGTCTTTCTCTGTTGGAACCAGCGACCACAACGACATCTCAACTAGGTGGGAGATGAAATCAGGGAACTCGGAGATTGCGTTGTGCTTTAATGGGTCGAGGGCGCAGTAGATGGCGAGGAGAATCCACACCACATACAGAGTGAGACGAAGAAGAAAAGAGCAAGCCTCTTGTCGTTGCTCTGAAGAATCAAAACCAGAGAAGGAGAAAGGAGGGAGGACGGCGGCTAACAGGTGGTGGCAGGGGGAGAGAGGAAGGAGAAATTAACTTTTTTTTTAATGCTTTATTGACGTGGCATCCACGTGTACATTTTGCTGAAGTGTAGCTAATGTGGAGGTTGGATTCCGTCCTCGTCAGCGTTCCGTCAAACGAGTTAATGGAATCGCAGATGGTGTTAAAGTTTCTAACGTTTTTGGCTAGATTTGTCATACTACCCTCCGTTTTTTGGGCTATTTGTGGTTTTCGAATAGAAATGGCTATATTTGTCAAAAGTGTGAAAGTTATGGCTATACAGGTGTATTTTGTCTATAAAAAATTGTATCCTTCAGCTCTGCCAATATCTAATCTCAAATTTCTCCCCAAAAAGTGAGATTTGTCAATCCTATGATAAGAAAGCCAAAATACAATCCTTTCTCTAAATTTATCCACGCAATAATATTCAGATGATTTTGTCAGTTTAAATTTTGTCGATTTTCCGTTATACCAATTTGAACATTTTGAAATATTTTAAAACTTTTATATCCAATGAATTTTGTTTTGCCACTAGTAGGGTCGTCTGTATAATTATCACGGTAACCTTTGATCATATGTAATTCATAGTTAGCAAAATCACACAAATTGGGTATTCCAAACCGAGAAAGGGTGCAACCGATTTGATGCATTGAGGGACTTCAATCACCTTGCATGCTAATGCCGATTATTAGACATAAGAGCTCTCGTTGGTATTAATTGTTATCGTCCACGTGAAATTTTTGAACAGATTATCCTGAACTTGTCAAAAGAGGGCCAGCTAGACACTATCCATATTTTTTCCATTGCTCAAAAGCACCAAGTCCGAATACCTGTAATATTGTTTTAACGGCTAAACTTTACTCTCCAGCACACAAGTCGAAAATCTAATTAAAAATAGGGAGCAATTTATCTCGTTTTAACGGCTAAAATTACCTTATGAGGTGAGTTTTTTCATCGGAAATTTTGATTTGGGCATACATATGGTCTGAATCTATAAAATATATAAAGGCTTTTCCAAATACTACCTTCACTATTTCAAAATTCCAGCCCTCCTACGCATCCACGTCAGCACCCTTCCGACCAATCAGATTTTTTCTTAACTCATTTTTTTTCTTTTAAGTTTTTCTATACCCCAATTAGAATGTGCCACTTAACTCTCTCTCTCTCTCTCTCTCTCTTCTTTTTCAATCTCCCCTACTATTCTTAATTGATCCATATTTATTTCGCTTCAACTCCGAATTTAAATATTATTGTCCGAAAAAATAAGATTTTATGTGATATACACCAGGATACCCATTTTGATATATGTTTTTTTTAAAACATAGCCACAATCATATATTTACAAGGCATGTTCCTATTCGATAGTTGCGAAACAATATCAATATCATTCGATTGTACCGTCATAAAGTATATACTAACATAGATCGCAGAACAAATTTCTTATTCTACTGAGTTACTAAATTATATCAATGTTTAATTTTGTAATATAATGCACAACAATTTCATGGGTGCTAAAATATTGTCGTGTGGTACAAACTAATTTACCTTAAAAAAATCATTTAGCGGCCAACTGGTCGGATTCAAAGGCATACACGATTCAGAATGAGAGAGGACAATGACAGACTGAACAAAATAAACACTTTAGGAGGGGACAAAAAACCAAAGTACATATTTCAAACAAAATTTACCCGGCCAACGGACCGGGTACCAAACTTGTTATACTTTATGAATTAAAAAAAAAAAATTGGCGAAGTTATCCAAACACGCAATTATTGATCAAACCCTGTTTTTTAATGGGGGAAGCTTTCTTCCGCCGGCGGCGACAAGTTGAACCTTCAGGAAATCTGATTGTAGATAACTGATAAGGGAAATGACAAGGACGTTTCCATGGAAAAAGATGGGGAGAAAAAGAGAGCGTATTTGTTGGGTGGGAAAATGAAGGAAAACAGCCGTAAATACCATGCCGTGCTGAAAAGCTAATTATGCCATTGCTTTCCCACTTGCCGTGACTGATTTTCGGTGGTGGTGGTGCAGAACTTGAGTCTAATTCCGACCAGTTCCCTTTTTTTCATGACTTCAAAAGGTAGGGAAGTGGCTCCAGAAGAACACACATACTCAATTATGGGATAGTCAAAAGTGTTGGAAATGGACCATTTTGGATCGAGACGATTGGGTGTGCGGCTTCTTTTATTCTCACGAATTCCAAAAACAGAAACAGAGACGAGCCTGTCTAGCTGTTAGTCAGTTAATGCGAGTTCATAGGGGGAGAAGAGATAACTCACACTCAACAAAAAAAAATTAGGTATAGAGCGTTGCTCTGTGACGGTGGTTGCGCCAACAGAGTAGGAGGAATGGAGATTCGAAGTCCTCCTAATGAATCTGGGTGATGAGAGAAGGTGAAACCTATTGGAGCTAGATTGATCCGTGAGGAGAAGAAATGTCATAGAGAGGGTAAGATGCGAAATGGGAGTGCAAACTTGGTCTGCCGCCAGGAGAGAGTCGGGTGGGAATTCGACCCCAGATCACTGGTTCGGAAAAAAAAAATATTACACTGATTTTATGATAAACTCGTTTATATGTTACTAGACTCCTTAAATCATACTTGCTAGTTTTATATACTATTTTAAGTGTTGTTCTTTTTGTTTGAGTTTAATGATACAACCACTATATATTGATTTTAGTCATTGTGATTTCGGTTCTTCACAACGAAAATATCAAAATATATATTCTCATATCAAAAAATTATCAATGGATGAATGATAACTAATGTTTTATGTAATTCTTAAATTTGAAAGTTAAAAGTGAAAAGGGCATAACAAATTAACAATGCTTGTCTTACAATCTTGCTACTATTAGTGATTTTTTGTGTGTGTGTGTGGTAAAACTATTAGTGATTTTCCAATTGTTCAATGTTGCTAGTTTCAGAATGATTTTCTAGCCCTTGTTCGAACATACATTAACTTACAACATTTATTCCCTAAAACATTTTACAAGTTGTTAAAGCTTGACATTTCAAAGTTATAATTACAAGAAGTCGGTGTGATGATATTCTAAAATGATAAAATTCACTTTCTCATCAAAATTTACAATTTAGTATCACTAATCATGTTTTTATCTTAACAAAGAGAATGAGGATGATATTGACTTACTTTTCCAAAACACTTCAAAAGAAGAACAAGAATAACACAAGATGGATCTTGGTAGATGTTCTTTGGGTTATTGTTCTTGTTGTTTACGAATACTTCCTTTTGACTTACTTACTTAAATATACCTATATATGCCTTGTTTCTCATAGAATGGCCAAATGTAGAAGAAGAAAAAAAATTGTAAGTCAGCAAATTTATTAGGGGCTGATTGTCTATAGTAGAATGGTTGAACTTGGACAAGCTACAATGAGTTTATATACTATTAAAAAGACCGATTTATGGAATGATGAATGATGGAAGTGAAGCTAAGTATTACTCATTCCTTCAAAATATAGAATAATGCATCAAACAAAAATGAAATCCAAGATGTTATAATAAAATAATTGTAATGGGAATTCATTATAATAGTCAGATAAGAATGAGAATGAGGCGGGTTTGGGCACATATCATTAAATTCAACCCAATTTCCATTTTTAATTCATAATTTCGTACCCTTTCCTTCTCTCATACCGGTGAAAGTTTCTTATCCCCATCTCTCGATTTTTCAAATAACTGTGGATAGTACCTTCCCCGAAAATCCAAATCAAATTTCAATTTAAAATCAATGTAATCAAGTTGAAGACACATACGAATACGACTTAAGAGTTAGAATATCGAACAAAGATTATATATCATAAATAACCACAAAAAGTACAAGAAATATAACAAAAAATTAATTTTGCAGAGGAAATTAGGGATAAAAGTTGACATATATGTATTGTTGGAATAAAAAAAGTGAAACAGATGATAATTTATGAAAGTCGAGAGACAATTATTGCTAAACATCTAAATTTATCCCCGACCCGTACCCGCCACTTTTTTCGTGGATATTACCCATACCAGCCTCATCACATGTTAATGCGGGAATTTCCTTCATTGACTGGGTCGGGAAGGTTCGGATTTTGTGGGTACGATTCCTTCGTTGAACTTTGAACTTCACACTTTGGTTTGGGCCGAACAGGTAAAGCATGTTGCCGTCCGAAAGAGACTATTATGCATGTCGGCCCAAAATAAGACGGATTATGTTACCCAAGCCCAGGTTATTAAAATTAGGCCCCGAGCATAAGAATAAATAATAGGAAAATGGAAAAGCCAAAGAAACAAAATACAAAAACACCGCGTGGTCTTCCAGATTTCATGTGTAGCAGACTACAACTGCAGTTCAGTCATTTCTCTCTCTCTCCCATTGCTGTCTTCCAATCAAGTCCCAAATCAACGACCCTTGCCGCCGCGCCCAAATCCTCATCCAAATTCAAAATTTTCCGACCCCCAAATCGATCCGCCTCCGTCAATGGCCGACTCCGACTCCGCCACCGCGCAATCTCCATCTCCGTCTCCGCCGGCCGCTCCTCTCGCTCCGGTTTACTTCTACTTCTTACTCGCCCCTGCCTTCAATCCCCTCTCTTCTCCATATGTTTCCTTTATTGCATCGTTTCTCATTTCCGCTTCTTTTTTGCCGTGTCGAGCCGGCTCCAGAGGAAGGAGAATCTCACGCCGGTCGGTTCCAAGATCGCGGTGAGAGATTGCTTCCTCATCTCCTTTCAACCCTTTGAATTTCGAATTCTCTCGGGAAGGATTTTATTTGGATTTAAATATTAAGAAAGAATCTCCGCGTTTGGTTTGCAGGAACTGAACGAATCGAGGGTGGAGCTCCTTACCAGAATCCAAGGCTTGAAACAGGTCAAGTTTTGATCTTTCTCTTCGAAATTATATGCTTTGACTTGGATTGACTAGGGCTAGACATTGATGGGGGAAGTTCTGTTCTTTTGCGTGTTTGTGGTTTCAGGACTTGCATACTTGGAGATCTAAGCTAGACACTCAAATCAAAGTGTACCGTGAGGTAACAAACATCCATTGCCTCTTTCCCTCTATTACCTTAACTGATTTCGTTTTCGGGTTCGTACTTCTAGTTGGTGAACTTGGAGGTTGAAAGAGGTTGTGAATTAGATTAGATAATGCAGCAGGCCACCTGAGGAGTTCAACATTGCCTTCTGTCAGTTGAGTACATTGTGCTTCTATTGCAAGATTGTCATGTTCTTGGGGTTTGCCAAAGGCTAATGCGAGTTAGCTTTGTTGTTATGTGCCTACCGAGTTCTTATGCTCTGTCCCAATGTAGTTGACTGGCATTTGGCCATGCTGTTACTCGTTGATCCTTGGCTTTGCTTAAAACATTGTCAGTGTTCTCCCAAAGAAGTCATCTTTCCTTTCAGCAACCTAAGTTATTTGGTGTGGTTTAGGTTGAGATTTTGCATCAAGAAGTCATAATAATCAATAACCAGCAGCACTCTTACCTTTCGGAGCAAAAGGGATTCACTTGCTATCTTATGTGTTCCTGCTGCCGTTTGTTACGATTTGAATCGGTCTTCCTATTGCTTGCTTATTACATTCGATGTTGCTAGTTGTTTGAAGTAGGATCTTTTCACATTTGCAGGAATTAACAGAAGTGAAGAAGTCGTTGAATGATGAGGTGGAGCAACTACGACTGGTTAGTATTACTGCTACACAACTTCTCCTCACATGTTACAACAACTATATTGCTTTCTTTCTGTTCAAGTAATAATTTCAATCCAAATCCCAAAAAAAAAAAACAACAACAGGAGTTCAAAGAACTCAGAACTACACTTCAGCAGCAACAAGATGACATCTCTTCTAGCATGAAGAACTTGGGGGTAGGTGTCCATGCAAACTCTTCTTTTCCCTTTCCTTCATTTAGCTGACAAAATCGAACCTTAAGAACCTGATGCGTAAACTGGGTGTGTGCAGCCTGTGGATGGGGGAGAGGATGAAGTTAAAGAGGCGAAACACTCGGAGGCAGATGTGCAACAAGAAGATGAAGCGAAAGTCTTAACTGTCGAGGAAGAGCCTAGTTCAGCCTAACACAACCATTTGCATTCCCTTGGAGAAGAAGCCTTTTCTTTTCCGAGTCCATCCCGGTGCAATCTATTGAAGTACTCCAAAGAAATATGTAATAGTGTAGTTGTAAAATCAGCCCAGGAGGGGGCAGACAACTTGTAATACTTATCGTTGCGACTATGAACCACTTCAACCTGCTCCATTCCTTCTAGACGAGAACGAATCACTGCAATTGTTGCAGCACAGCTGAAAGCCTATCAGCAGAGGAAACTAAACTATCAGTTTGATATTGAGTTGACTATAGGGTTAACACTGCCATTTTAACCCAACCCATCCAACTTGGTGAGAAAAAAAAAAAAAAAATGGTAACCATTAATTTGCTCAACCTCCATTCATTTATTACCCCACCATTATTATCTTTCCACCACCCAGATATTGTGCTTGGTTGCTTGCTTCTCCCCCCACTTCCCCCTTACTGTTTGGCCATTGAATACCTTTCTCTAGTTCCCAAGAAACTGTTTTATGTGTAAGAATGCTCTATACTCTATAGGCACAGACTAGAGCGACACAGAGAGAAAGCCATGGCTAAGCTTCTTCTTCTTTCTCAATCATGCCTCTCTACTCCCATTGCTCCAAAAGGGGCCTTAACCGTTGTTTACCATTCAAAGGAGACTGCTGATGATGATGATGAATTGACGATCGAGCAGTGAAGTAAATGGTCTTCCACCCACCACATCCACTTCATTCATTCATTCATGCAACCTCTGAAATAGAATGATGGCGCTCGAATGACATTTGGATCCATGCCTTATGTGTTAAGGAGTAGTGTATTGAAGGCTATCTCCCAACCCACCTTAGATTTTGGGTGCAACTGCCACTACCCATTATGTTTTATGTTCTTTCCAAGAAACCCTTTTCACCTCTTTCCCTATAATGGGATGGATTATTAATGTGAGATTGTTTTCATCCAAAGGAGGAAGGATTGACCCGCCTGATAATAATTTAGGGCACTACAATGAATATATTTCAAAGTGTACAACATTAAAAATTAATTTAGATGATTACTGCGGATGAGGAGCTGTTGGCTTCTAACTTCCAAGTCATTCACGATATCGAATGAATTCCTAGAGTGTTGATGGTAAATTGGACATTGAGTACTTCTAAATTTTTCGAGGTTAATAGGAAATGATTGTTTGTAGCCTTTAAACGACTTCTTCATCTTCAACCCCTGCCCCTGAAGAGATTTCTTGTTTTTGTTTGCTTGTAATCATGGTTCTAAATTTTTCGAGGTTAATGGGAAATGATTGTTTGTAGCCTTTGAACGACTTCTTCATCTTCAACCCCTGCCCCTGAAGAGATTTCTTGTTTTTGTTTGCTTGTAATCATGGTTGTCACTCCGGCCGGCGTGGCACCGGTTGTATCGGGTTCAACCGGTACCGGTCATAAAATCGGCGTGACACCACCGGTATGACCGGCATGATCGATATACGAATTTCTAAGTAAAATAACCTTATTTTAGAGAATTTAATTGATAAAAATTATTTTATTATTTATTTTATGAGCATAAAAGTTAAAATATTGATGTTATTTGTTGGATTCAAGTATAAATGTTTAGGTATTAACGTTAAATGTCATGTTTAAATATGAGTATATAATTTTATTTGTAATATTGACCGGCATGAACTGGTACAAACCGATATGTGTCACCGGTTGAACCATTCCACTTGCTAAACCGACACACGCATAAACTTGCTTGTAATTATACGCCAATATTGATAGAACTTGTTAAATAGATTTTCGTCTTGGTTAAAGATAACCAACTGGCTTATTTAAGCATTAATTTCTTAAATTAAATACTCTTTGACGAAACAAATCAATCTACTCTATCTCCCGGCTGCTTCCCGCAATCGACTCAGAATCCGCTTCATCCCCTCCTCCGATTCGTTGGCCTTCGTCAGCGCCATCGAGCTCCTTCCCCTCTCATCCAGCTTCTTCGCCGACAATCGGAGCGCGGCCGTCTCTCCCGGCGGCGGCAGCCGCCCTGCTGCTGGGTTCTTCGGGTTCCCATCCAGCGCTCTCCGCACCGTTCACAGGGTCGACATCGGAGGAGGAGGTCGCGGTGGAGAAATCCCCCCCGACTCGCTCTTCCGGCCATGGCGGCCGGACGAGGAATTCTACGCGACCCCTTCCCTCGGGAACGAGAGCGACACCGCCACCATTCCTTCCGGCGCCGCCGACAGGATTCGAGATCTCGCCGCTTCGGAACCCGCGCTGGGTAGTTGCAGGTACGAGAGGTCGCCAACGGCGGGGAGAGGCCGGCGAACCTAACCTGGAGATTCCAAGTGAAGAAGAACACCAGACAATTTCTCCGCCTCTACTTCCTAAACTGCGTCAACGACGCCGCCATCAGAGATTTCAATCTCTACATCAACACCAATTTCCCAGCCACGGTTGATCCCTTTCTCTATATAAGAGAATTCGTGGCGGATTCCGATGAATCTGGGTTCTTCGAAATCAGCATCAACCCTTCCCCTGCCGTCGAGAATGGAGTCGCCACAGCCGCCTATCTCAACGCTCTCGAAATCATGGAGTGTCTCCCCAAAACACCAGCCAACGAAACGGACGACGGAGGAAACCACTCTAATCATCACCGAAGGAATCTCGCCATCTGGCTGTCCGCCGCCGCTGCGGTGGTGTGGTTTTGATTTCGGTAATCGCGTTCCTATTGAAGAGGAACAAGAAGAACAACAACAAGGGTACCAATTCCGTAAAGAATTCAGCTACCGGGGAGAAGAAATCTCACAGCTGGATTACCGTCCACACGGATAACACCAACACCCAGGGCTCCCCTCTGCCGGAGCTGAATCTCAAGATGCCATTGTCGGAAATCCTCGCCGTGACGGAGAATTTCAACCCAAAACTTCTAATCGGTTCCGGCGGGTTCGGGAAAGTATACGAAGGTAAGCTCGCAAACGGAGTGACAGTCGCGGTGAAGAGAAGCGAATCGGGTCACGGGCAAGGCCGACCCGAATTTCAAATAGAGGTTTTAGTCCTCTCCAAGATCCGCCACCGCTATAAGTGTCAAAACATGACCCGACCCGAGTAACCCGCCCGCAACCCGATTGGACTAAAAGTCAAAGATCCGCAACCCGCCCGACCCGAAATCCGCTTGACCCACAACCCGGTTGACTCGCAACCCGCTTGGCCCGTAACCTGACTAACCCGAAACAACAAGATCTCAGAAAAGACATAAGAGCCAAACTTAACTCAACTTCTACATTGGGACGCAATGTAGAAGGAAAGATTCTAAAGACCGAATAAGATGTACAAAGAGTAGCATAAAGGGAACTAGAGGTTGTTTGCTTTTGGTATTTTGGTGTTGGATTTTGGCCCAAAATCCAACATATGTTGGACTTTATAATGAATCCATGTTTGTTAGCATATAATGGATTTTGTTTCAATATGTGGGGTCCACTAATATTGGATTATTTGGAGCTAAAATCCGTGGGCCCCATGGATTATAAAATCTTACCTCTATAGCTAGGATTTTGGAAGATAGATATAATCCATGATGTTTAATGACCGTGTTACCCCCACTCATTTTGTGTAATCCAATTTTGCCCTCGGTTATTATTATCTCTACTGAGGACTTTTGTCTACACTCTCATCTCATCAACTTTGTCTCTTCGTTGCCAAGGGATTGCAACACAGCAAAAAGCTCCGGCAACCCTTTCCATCTCTGCCTATCGTCGTTTTGTCTTCCTTTTATATGAAGCTCAACAATTAATTATTTCATGCTTACATCCTCTTTTTTTATTGATAGGGTATCATATTGATTGAGGAATTAATACCATGGCTAATGACATGGAGAAAGGAAGAAGACAAGAGGAAAAAGACAAGGCTGGGGGACAAGAGACAAGCCCAGGCACCTGACAGCAGCAAGGACAAGGGGCAGGGGGACACCCTCTGCCAAAAGGACTATGAACAGTGTCAGAGAGTCTGAGGCGCCCGACCAGAGCATTTATGGCTTGGCAGGCGCCCAGACCACTACCTACCTCTCAAATGTATATAAATAGGAGTTCTCTCCTCATAAATGACGATCCATCTACACTTACTACTACTTCTCTCTACTTTCTCTCTCTATACACTTCTTCTCTTCTCTTCTCTTATTTCGGACGAGGAGGGGCGCCTACCCTTTCAAGGTCATGGCTGACACCCCAAACCCCTTGGACCCGAGTGACGCCCAGTCGCCCGGGCTCAAACAATTGGCGCCCACCTTGGGGCCAAGCATGACTTTGAAAGACGCTTCCAACTCAAAGAAGGGAGAAGAAAGGAGTCTGGTACCAACAAAGACCCCTCTCAAGCAAGTGGTTGGGCGCGAGGCAATCAACCCCCAACCGCTCACCATCCAAGGCTTAGAAGCGTCCGATGACGACGACCCACCAGGAGATGGAGAAGGCGCCGAGCGCCTAGAAGAACAACTAGCGGAGCTTCGGAAAAAGCAAGCGCTTCAAATGGCAAGCATGCAAGGCCAGCTAGACCAAGTCATGACCGCGTTAACGGCACTAACAAAGGTCAACGGCCAGGCGCCTCCGAACCCCCAAGAAGCCATAGAAGAGGGGAGGCGCCTCCGAGGGAAAATGCAGGAGGTTGAGGCGGCACCCACGAACTCCCCACGGGAGGGTGTGGGCGCCTTGCCAAACGAAGACGCAATGGAAACTGACACTGACATCTACATGGAGAAGTACGCCCGGCTTAACTACGGCGCCTCGGAAGATAGGAGCGCCCAAATTATCAAGCAGCCGTTGTCAAAGGGGGTACTCGAAACACCAATTCCATCAAACTTCGCAAGCATCGGTCTACCCTCATACGACGGAAAATCTGACCCAGAAGATCACCTAAGTACGTTCTGTCGCAAGATGCAACTCCTCAATGCGTCCGACGCTGCTTTGTGCAAGGCGTTCCCCTCAACCTTCACCGGGGGATGCATTAGTTGGTACTCCTCACTCCCAGAGGGCATCATTCAGAGTTTTTCCCAATTCGCTTTGTTATTTACAACAAAGTATGCAAGCCAAAAGAAACAAACGCTGACGGTTCGTGCGCTTGTCAATCTTAAACAAAGGAAGGGGGAGAGCCTCAGGCACTTCATGGGGCGATGGTGGGAAGTCGCGGCCGACGTCAAAGACTTAACCCCTCCACTCATGCGCACCAATTTAATGGATGCAAGTACTAATGAAGAACTAAGGCGCTCCCTAGCCAAACGAGAAATACGACAGGTAGCTGAGTTAGAAGAAAAGATCCAAAAAGCAATTCTCATGGAGGAGGCGCTAGGGGCAAAGGAAGAGGAGCAGGGAAGTGGGCCCAGGCGCCCAGCTCAGAATGGGAGAGGTGAGGCGCCTAGAACCAGAAGGAGAAGTCCAGATCGACGGGATGATGCCCGACGTCCCAATGTCTGGGTAAGAAGGGACGTTCTTGCAAATTCACAAGAGCCTCGTCGAGACCGAACCAACCGCGAGAATGCAAACCAACCTCGAGGTCAGGCAGATATGTACTGCGAGTATCACAACTCTCGCACCCATAACACCGTTGATTGCCACTATTTCAAAAAAGCACTTAAGATAATCTCTGATCGGGGAGGAGTAAGAGAGATGTTCCAGAAAGCAGAACAAGGAAATCGGTCTCCACGGGAGCGCAGTCGCTCTCCAGCCGCAAGACCGCCCGTACAGGAGCGCCTGGGACCTAACCCAAACATCAAAGAGATAAGAACCATCGCAGGAGGGGAGCCCGACCGAAGGAAGAAGCGCAAGGGGCAAGCAAGTAACACATGGTGTATGAAGGTTGCAAAGCAAGAGGGTCCCGACTTGTCATTTACATCACAAGATTATCCCCCGGAGGGCCCGTCCGAAAATCCCCTTGTCATCAACATACAGGTGGAAGGGTATAAGGTGTTCCGAGTACTGGTAGATAGTGGGAGCTCCGCTGACATACTGTTCTATTCCTGCTGGCGCCAAATGCAAGCACCTCCCGAGGTCATGAAAGCCTCAGAAGCCCAACTTGTTGGCTTTTCTGGAGCAAAGGTGAAGGTACTAGGGACTGCGCGCTTAAGAGTCAAGGTGGGAGACGAGGAACCAAGTGCCACGCACCCGGTGGACTTCCACATTGCCGACTGCCCGTCCGCATATAACGCCATCCTAGGGAGGCCCTTCCTAGCTCGGTTCGGAGCTGTAGCGTCAACCTGCCACCAAGCAATGAAATTCCAAACGCCCCAAGGAATGGGGATAGCCAGGGGAGATGCGAAGACAGCAAAAGCGTGCTATGCGGCGACCATTCACAAGCCAAAAATACATACGATCGATGCTAGACCGACGGAAGTACCACGTCCTGGAGCAGTTGATTCAGAGATAGAACTACCATTAGACCCTGATGACCCGAGCCGGGTTGTCCGACTCTCCGCTCATCTACCAGAGCACATGCGTCTCCCAATGATCAACCTGCTAAGGGAGTACGCTGATCTGTTTGCTTGGAGCCCCGAAGACATGCCAGGTGTCTCTAGGGATCTTATGGAACACAAACTCTCCGTCAAACCGGAGAGCGTACCAGTGCAACAAAAAAGGAGGGGAGCATCGCTGGCAAGGAGGGTGGCCATGATGGAAGAAGTGCAGAAGCTACTTAAGGCAGGTTTTATTAGAGAAGTGCAGTACCCGAAATGGTTGGCAAACACAGTATTGGTCAAGAAACACAATGGGACATGGCGAATGTGCATCGACTTCACCTCGCTAAACAAAGCATGCCCGAAGGACCCATACCCACTGCCAAGGATTGACCAGTTAGTCGACGCCACCTCAAATCATGAGATGTTAAGCTTTCTTGACATGTTTTCAGGGTACCACCAGATCCCTCTCAGCGAAGAGGATCAAGAAAAAACAGCTTTCATGACCCCATACGGGAACTATTGCTATATAGTGATGCCATTCGGCTTAAAGAATGCGGGCGCTACCTATCAGAGAATGGTGGACAAGGTCTTTGGAGGGCAGATAGGACGGAACGTGGAAGCATACGTGGATGATGTATTAATCAAAAGTAAGAAAGAGGGTGACCACCTGAGCGACTTAAGGGAGACGTTTGAGAACCTGAGGCGTCACAATCTGAAGCTTAACCCCCTCAAGTGCGTGTTTGGAGCAGGGGCGGGTCAATTCTTAGGCTTCATGATCACTCGCCGCGGTATTGAGGCTAATCCGAAACAGATAAAGGCAATTGCCGAACTCAAGTCGCCAAGAACAGTAAAGGAAGTACAGGGATTAGCAGGTAAACTCGCCGCGCTCAATAGATTCATTCCGAGGTCAGCGGATAGATGCGCCCCCCTCTTCAATTCTCTAAAGAAAAAATCCAAGTTCAAATGGTCAGAAGCATGTGAGAAAGCATTCGAGGAGATGAAAACGCTGCTGGTAAACCCCCCTATCCTTGTGGCTCCACAAGAGGGAGAGCGTTTGTTCCTTTACATTGCCATATCAGACGTCGCTATCAGTGCGGTGCTCGTCAGGCGTCACTCTGAAACTCTTGCAGACCAGCCAGTGTACTACATCAGCAAAACGCTTCTACCAACGGAAAGGAGGTACCCAATCATTGAGAAGGGAGGTGGAAGCTGTTCATTGATGGAGCGGCAAGTAAGACAGGCGCAGGCGCCGGCATAGTCTTGGAAACACCAGGTGGTGTCACACACGAAGTAGCCTTGCGATTCTCGACACTCAAGACCAACAACGCGGCCGAATACGAAGCACTAATCAACGGCATGCGCATTGCGGAGGAGCTAGGGGCGAGACGCCTAGATGTTTTTTCTGACTCCGCATTGGTGGTTCGACAGGTGCTGGGAGAATTCGAAGTCAAGGAAGATTGTTTGCTGCGCTACGTGGAAGAGGCAAAGAAGAGAGCACAGGCTTTCGAGGATTGGAAACTATCCCATATAGCACGAGGGGATAACGCGCATGCGGATGCGCTTTCCAAGCTAGCTACCGCTGTGGACTTTGAGGAGGAGCGACATGTAATTGTCGAGAAGGAAAGCCCAAGCACCCCAGGAATGGGGGTGAATAGTGTTAATGTCGGACAGGAAGAGCAGGATTGGAGGGTTCCAATCGTTGAATACCTCATGAATGATACCCTTCCAACAGATCCAAAGGAAGCCACAGGAGTAAGGAGGCGAGCGGCGCGTTGTGCCATCATCGCCTTGGAGTTACACCGACGGTCGTACGAAGGAGTATACCTTAGGTGTCTAGGAAAGGCTGAAGCAAAGTGGGCTCTCCGTGAGATTCACGAGGGCGTGTGCGGTGGACACGGAGGGCCGAGGAGCTTGGAAAGAACGCTTAAATTGCAAGGGTACTACTGGCCAACCATGAGGAGTGACGCGAAGCAACTCACTATGGCATGTCATGCATGCCAAACCCATGCCAAAGAACATCACCTCCCAGCTACGGCAATGCAAGGAAACGTCAGTCCCTGGCCCTTTGCCCAATGGGGAATGGACCTAGTAGGACCTTTCCCCAAAGCTTCGGGAAAAAGGAAATACCTTATCGTGGCAGTAGACTATTTCACGAAGTGGATCGAGGCTGAGCCATTGGCCACTATCACGGCGAAACAAGTCGAAAGATTCGTCTTCAACAACATACTTGCGCGATTCGGTATTCCCAATTCCATCGTCACTGATCATGGAAAGCAATTTGACTGCACATCCTTCGCAGACTTTTGTCAAGAATACAATATCCAGCTCAAGCTCTCATCCGTGGCATACCCAGAAGCGAATGGACAGGCGGAAGCAGCAAACAAAACCATACTTCAAGGACTCAAGAAGCGTCTCCAGGAGCATAAGGGAAATTGGGTAGAGGAACTCCCCCATGTACTATGGGCGCTGCGCACCACTCCAAAAAGCTCTACGGGTGAAACTCCATTCGCCCTGACTTTTGGTGCGGAAGCGGTAACCCCCACGGAAGTTGCGTTGCCCACCCCGCGGGTCCAATATTTCAACGAAGGGAACGATGTCAGCATGGCTCATGAACTAGACATGCTAGATGAGAGAAGGGTAGGAGCACTTCGGAAGCTGGTAGAGGACAAAGAGCAGCTGGCAAGATACTATAATTCAAGACTGAAGCCCCATCACATCGAAGAAGGAGACCTTGTGTTGAGAAAGGTATTTCGTCCTAACCCCAATCATGGAAAGTTGGCTGCTAAATGGGAGGGGCCTTTCGTCGTAAGGGAAGTGATAGGACCAAGCACTTTCAAGCTCGCCACCATGGAAGCAGAACGTGTCAGCAAAACCTGGAACGCAAGGCATCTGAGGAAGTACGTGTGCGAGCAAGAAGCACAAGAGGAGTAATCGGAAGATTAACATTTTGTAGGGAGGAGGAGCGCTCTCAAAGAGGCGTAGCCCGAAGACACCCTAGGGAAGACTCGAGTATTGTTTTCTTTTTTTTCTTTACTTCAAAGATAGACATGTTTTGTAGGGAAGAGGGGCGCTTTCAAAGGGGCGTAACCCAAGGACACCCTAAGAGAGTCCCTTTCGTTCGGTTTTAATTTGTAATATTCAGAATTTTCGGGTAAAGGGACACATCCTGGAAACACCCCAGGCAATCCCCTACCTGGCTAAAGGAATGGAGATGCACTATTCAGCAAAGCAAAGTTGTTCCTGTATCAGCAGGTAAAATCTCCGCCAACTCGATTTCTCCGTCAAAGAGAAGCCCAAACGTATCACCTCCTTTTCAGGAGCACACATAGAAAAAATCAAGCTCGGCTCAAGATAGTCTTCCCGCAGACCGTCAGAGAAACCCCAATGCTTACACTTGGTGTCCATCCAAGTATCGGGCGCTCGTTGTACGAGTCCCCATGAGAGGCGACAAAATTGATATCCCTCGCAAAAGTTCCTGCCTCGGCAGAAGGGGTCACCCAAACCCGCTTCCTCCGTCGAGGAGAAGCCTTGACGCGTTACTTCTTTTTCAAGAGTACGCATGGGAAACCCAAAACTTGCTTCCTTCGTCAAGAAGGAGCCTAGACACGTTACTTCTTTTTCAAGAATACGTGAGAAGAGACCTAAAGCTTGCTTCCTCCGTCGAGGAGAAGCCTAGACGCGTTACTTCTTTTTCAAGAATGCGCATGGGAGACCCAAAATTTGCTTCCTCCGTCGAGGAGAAGCCCAGACGCGTTACTTCTTTTTCAAGAATACGCATGGGAGACCCAAAGCTTGTTTCCTCCGTCGAGGAGAAGCCTAGACGCGTTACTTCTTCTTAAAAAAAAAACATATGACGGAACTAAAACAACATTCACAATAGGTCCAAGAAAACGGAAAGCTTGCGGATAATATTGTTCAAAATAATAGCCCGAAAGCTAAACATCCACAGACATGCAAGGAAGAAATAAGCAGAAGATAACATAAAGTCGACTGAGTCCAAACAAACAAGAAATAAGCATCTACTAGTCCGACTTGCTCGAGTGATTGTCGGACGAGCTAGAGTCACCATCGGTGCCACCATCCGAGGCGTCACCCTCACCATCAACAGCAACCATATCACCACCACCTTCCCCGGCACCAGCATTGGCATCGACGTTGTCACCTACTCCCTCTTCCCCAACCCTCTCGACGTCAACCCCCACGTCATCGGCAGAAGAGTCGCCCTCATCCAAGGGGTACGGGTACGAGTCGGAAGGCTCGTTATCCGTACCAAGGGAGAGGAAATAATCATCCATAGCCTGCCAGACCTCCGGAGTATCCCACTTCATGCCAGGATTATCGGAGCGGACCTTCTTACGAATGCCGATGAAAGCTCTCTTCTTCACTCCGAGCAAAAGGTTCTGCTGCCACTCACGAAACTCCGCTGAGGACAAGTGGGCGTCTACGGCATCTTCACGCTCCTTGATCAGCCTCTTCTTAAATTCCTCCTGAAAGAAAAGGTTTACGCGCTTAGCTCGTATAAAGGGAAAGCAAGAAAGACACAAGAGAACTTACCTTCTGGTGACCCCTAGCAGCAGACATCGCCAGCAGCTCCTTCTCCAAGGCCTCGATCCGCTTCGCCTGGAATGCTATCTCTTTCTCCTTCTCTTCACGAGCAGAAACACTCTCAGCAGCCAAGGCGTCCGAAAGCTGCCGCTTCACCGACGCCAACTCATCCTCCAGACGAGAGTTAACGCCTTGGAGAGTAATCTTGTCAGTTTTCAACTGAGAAGCCTGCAGAAAGTTCTTATGGGCGCGATCTCGATTCTCCGCACTCTTGTCAGAAAGAGCAACCACATCAAGCATCGCCTAAACAAGAGAGCAACGATTAGTAACGAAGTACGATCCATTAATAGTAAAAGTGTGTGAGAGCATACCTGGAACAAGTGCTGGCACGCCGAGCCTGCAGGAGAGGTACCCTCGTCGAGGGGAAGCTTCAGGAACTTCCTCAACTCCACGGCCGAAGTAAAGGCGCTGGGAGCATTGAGGGCAGCACTAGGAGAGATTGGAACAGGCTCCTTCGGCTTTACGGCACGCCGCGAGCGAGGAGGTGCCAAAATCTCATCAATACTCCCAAGACTCGGCTTGTTCTTCTTCTTCGGAACCGCAACAGGAGAGTCGGCCGAGGCATGGCGCTTGCCTAATGTCTTCTCCGGGAGAGGGTCGCGTGACCCCAAGGAAGGAAACAATCGAGGAGACGCCTCCTCGATGTCGTCAGACGCTTTGCCAGATGAACGGGGAGCCGCCTTCTGTGCCCTAACTCCGGAGGCCCCGGGAATCTTCTTCGCCATCTTCGCCAAGCTCGAGTAGTCAAAATCTGCAAAAAAAAGAGTTATGCAAATACCATAAGTTGGGAGATAGAATAAAATCACTCGAAAGAAATATACCATGGTCGTAAAGTTCCCCCAGGGCGCGCGCCCTCTCCCCTTTTCTCCCAAAATCCACGGGAGGCGCACGAAGAATGTGGTGCTTCTGTTCCCGCTCAGGCTTCGCAAGGGTAAAATCCTTGGCCCACGTTTCTTCCGAACCCTCACCCCACAGAGTCGAGAGAGGCGCCGAGGTCGGTGCGTGCCAAGTACCGGGAGTCGGCCTAATAAAGAAGTAAGAGCAATACCACTTGCTAGGGAGCTTAGGCGATCCCTTGCAAACCCGTCCCTGGTATTTACTATCACGCTTCACGGCCGACCAACCATGCTTACCCCGCTCCAACGCATATATGCTGCGGAAGATAGAGAATGAAGGGATGTAGCCTAAGCGCTTGCAGATAAGCCGGAAGGCGCAGGTGTGAAAGATAAGCGAAGGAGACAGAAAACTAAGAGGGCACCCAACCATCTCCAGGATACCCGATAAGATGGGATCCAATGGGAACTTCAAACCGCACTTCAGATACTCCGAGTAAATCGCAAACCAACCCTCGGGGCAACTCCCGATGCGAGCACTACCATCCGGAACTGCATATCCCCAGTCTGTAGGGTAACCTAGGCCGCGGATATAAGAAACAACGCGATGCAGTTGAATGCTGGGTCTCTTGTCAGGACCTAGTAGGCGCGCTGAGGAAGGAGGCGCCTCACCACCCCACATCCCCCGCCAAGGCAGAATAGTATATCCTGAATCGGTAACCGTCCGAGAACAAGACGTGCCGGGGTCGGGGTCCACACTTGACGTATCATCCTCAGTAAGCGCCTCCAAACGGGTATATGATTGATCATCCTCGATGTCGCTGGCAATCTCGGCGAGTCTCCATTTGGATCGTCTATACACTGTTTGATCCACTGAGATTCCCAAACATTAAACATATGATACTAAAGTTAACAAAATAGAGAGAACATAGCTTACCCATCTTCCTAACTTTGCTTGAGGAAGCCTTCTCCTTTCCTTTCTTAGAGGTAGGGGCGCCACCCACAGACGCAGAGGGTTGAGAGTTGTTGGAAGCCATCAAGGAGTGATGAGCAGCAAAGTGAATCTTGGAGGAGAAGCGTGTACTACGCCTAAGCCGATAACGCGCGGGTAAAAAACCGTTCCCTCCCGTGACTATGTTTTGATAGGCGCTTGTGACACCGAGAAATCAAAACCTGCAAGCAGACAAAGAACAGGGTGCGAGTGAGCAAGGTGCCGCCCCTTTTTCCTTTTTGCTAAGGCGCCTACAAAGGGGAAGGTGCCCATGAATTGGACTAATGTGGGGAAAAATCCAAGCATCAAAGGAAATGGAAGGCGCCACCGATCAAACCACCAAGCTGCCTTTAGAGGCGCCTACCCATGAACATGAGGCAAGGTACAAGGCGCCACCATTCAGATCACCAAAACACTTTCAGAGGCGCCTACGCCCTAACCTAAATCGCATCTATTTCGCTTAGGTAGTGTCATCCATACGATGGAAAAAGAGAACAAGGAGCATAGGAAGTGTTACCTATTGAAAAGAGGCCGCCGCCGCAAGAAAATCGGAGGCGCACGAGCAAGGTACAATCGGGAGAGGCGCTGAGGAAAGGCAGGAAGGAGCTTCCGCGAGCCGGTTGAACGCCTGTGCGAAGGGGAAAGGTGTCGAGGAGCAGGGAGGAGCGCCTGCGCGGAAGGGAGCGCCTTTCGGAGGAGGGAGGCGCCGAGGAGGAACAGGGAGGAGCGCCTGCGCGAGAAGGAGCGCCTTTCGGAAGAGGGAGGCGCCGAGGAAAAGGGGAGCAAGGGAAGAGGGCGGCCGAAAAATTTGGGGGAGAAGTGAGGAGAGAAGGAAGGAAAGGGTTTAAATAGGGAGGAAAGAGGGCGCACGTTCCTCGAAGCAGGCTGCTCTAGAGCCCAACTTCCCACTACCTCAATTAAACCACCCCCCCTCCAAATTTGAGTGGGCTTGATCCAAAACTACTGCTAGCAGCCTCCAGGGGGTGGCGTCTTCGCCACCACCCCATGCCTTGCCAGTAGTTTGTTTTTTCACGATATTTTAATTATTTTGCTTATTTATTCTTTTATAATTTTTTCTCTTGTCCCTCTTTCTTATTATTATTACCATTATCTATGTATTTTATTTTTTTTATTTTTTATTTTTTCTTTCCTTCTTTCTTCTTTTTCCGTTTCTTCATAGTTTGTGTAGTTTACCAACATAGGGCATATTTGTTTGACAATACCGTATACTCACGGCATCGCCAAAAGGGGCAATTGATAGGGTATCATATTGATTGAGGAATTAATACCATGGCTAATGACATGGAGAAAGGAAGAAGACAAGAGGAAAAAGACAAGGCTGGGGGACAAGAGACAAGCCCAGGCACCTGACAGCAGCAAGGACAAGGGGCAGGGGGACACCCTCTGCCAAAAGGACTATGAACAGTGTCAGAGAGTCTGAGGCGCCCGACCAGAGCATTTATGGCTTGGCAGGCGCCCAGACCACTACCTACCTCTCAAATGTATATAAATAGGAGTTCTCTCCTCATAAATGACGATCCATCTACACTTACTACTACTTCTCTCTACTTTCTCTCTCTATACACTTCTTCTCTTCTCTTCTCTTATTTCGGACGAGGAGGGGCGCCTACCCTTTCAAGGTCATGGCTGACACCCCAAACCCCTTGGACCCGAGTGACGCCCAGTCGCCCGGGCTCAAACATTTATAATCCAATCCAAACCCTTGATTTTCCTTTCGACATTATTGGTTTGGGTTGAGAGTTTCAATTTACTTTAATGGCTTCTTGCAATATGACCAAATAGTATGGATGTTGCTGCCATTTTTACATATGCTAATTCTTCATGTATATACAAAAACATTCAAAATACAAGTAAAGTAAAAAGTGGTTCATTAAGGATAATAAAGTAATTTCCCCCATCAAGCCATAATTCCAACCTACTAAAAGCCATTACCAAATCCTACAAACAAACATGGAAGTTTCAAAATCCAACATAATCAAAATCCAACATAATCTCTCATATTCAAAATCCAAGGTTTTATCATAATCCCTCATTTTCTAAAATCCTAGAAGCAAACGACCCCTATTTACCAACCTATCTGTATACGAAAATAGCAGTAGCAGGTGACAATAGTCAAACAGGCATCCGAGTCGTCTATTCTATACTGCATAAAATATATTTTTTAAGGCCATAACAGAAACAAGAACTACAAGGATACTAGAGTGTGCCATCAACTTTTTCCTCTCTTTCTTAGGAGCTTTCCTGTGCCCTTTACCGCCAGCATCTCTCGTTGTAATTTCTCCAACATATTTCAATGATCTACACAGTTCTGGAAAAGGAACAAAAGTAAAAGAATCCAACTTAGTGCAGAATTAAGGATAATAGGATATCGATCAAGAAGAATAATCTACAGCTATAAAATAATGAAACAATCAATTTGGATATATTTTATATACAGAGACTCTACAGATATAATGCTAATGAAAGCTTATCCAGCAGATACCCTTCTATTTGTTTTAAGTCTATAAAGCTTCATATCTCGTTTTTCTGTCAATTACCAAGCCAATTTAAAAGAACCGACTGTGCAAATTCAAGGGAAATGTTAGGGGCAAACAGCTTAACAAAAAACTACAAACTTCATTCACAAGAAAAAAGTAAACAAACTTAACCAGATACACATTTGCACCTTGGTAGCGATAGCAATGTGAGACTAGGTAAATGAAAAGACTTGACTCCATGTTTTTTGCAAAACAGTGACATTCTTACAGTGAAAACTATCCATACAAGATTATTAAATTTGCTGGCATCAGAGTACAGCAGAGCAAAGACTTGGTCTGATTAACCACGATAATTTTCTCTGGAGAAAGGAAAACAGAGGAAACAGAAAACTCATAACCTGAATGAGCTGCATACTGACTTGCCTTCACTGGCTTCTTACAAGCATTGCAGCATACCTTGAAAAATATATTCCCCGTTAGACATATTATACTAGTCCCCCCACCCCCACCCCATAGGCATTATACTAGTTTTTTTGTTATGAATGAAACACATTATACAAGTTGATGTTTAGTTATCTATACAACAAAGTGCAAAAGCCCAAGGTATAGATACGCTTTTGAAAAACATTATTAACGTCAATTCTGATAGTTAAAACAGTGTGTTCTTTGTTATCAGTGCAGTATAATTATCAAGGTTGAAGTCGAATACGAGTTTCAGATGTATAAATCCTTTGGAAGAGTCATTGTGTCGATCGAATGCCAAAAGGGAACAATTCCATTCAGAATGTCAAGGAGAAATAAGAAGTGAAAGCAATTAAGTTTGTGAACCATACCAGATGCAGAGGATCAGTCATTGGCTCCACACCAAAGACATGCATGTCTACGAGAAAAAGACACCACTTAGTGAAGCCTTAACAGCTAGGCCAGGCATAAATGAAAGTATTACCCCATTGTCTAACCCAGAAATAGAAGTATTACCAGATTAACATAGGGGATACATTCATTGCTCTATAACTCTCAACAAAACAGTTACTACACTAACACTCAAGCTTGCATACCAACATGGGCAATGCTACATTGACAACCTAACTCATTATCTTCAAAAATAAGTAATGACCTATAGACATGATATCTTACCTTCCTCATCAAGCAAGTTTGGTTCATCAGCCTCATGTAACTCCCTGTACATGCATTTTGCAACTGATTGTCGACGGCCAATTTCCACTGCCAAATAATAAGAAATTGGATCATCTTTATAAGCTGAAATGCATCAGAGTGAAATCCCAAACCACAATAACAATTTGAAACCTTGTTGGTAATACTCAAATTCACTTTTCATTTTGCTAAGAGTTCCATTCACATCATCAATACTTCAATTCTACTCCAAATTGTAACAAACGAAGATATCCCATCCCACCCTTTGACTCCCGTTTCCCCATCTCACACTCATTTCACCTGCTAGATTCTGCGATGACACACTTCCAGCAGCTAGAATCCTGGCCATGACAGCCATCCTCCCATTTCCCAGTGAACACACCATTAATGTTGAAACTATCTCTGCATCTGTAGTCTATACACTGCAAATAAACAACTACCGTCACTTAGCATCACGAAAACAAGAGAACCAAAATTGAAAAATTCAGCTGGCTTTCCTTAGTCCAATCCACATTGCCAAACAACGTTTCAGATTCAGAGCTCATTCTTGAAGCACTCAACATTCTAGACAGCCAAGACCAACAGCAGCGGGGATCAAATCGATACTTGAACAAAACGCGAAACTAAGGAGATCACACATTCCGATTTTTCAGTAGCAACGCCACAAAAAAACCTAAACGTCGCATTCACAATCCTAACCACGACAAACACGAATGCAGCACATGCCACGTGAATCATTTCCAAAATCCAACGAAATTCCAGCCGAAGCCGCAAACAACTCACCGCGAATCTACACAAACAGCGAGTACCTCGGGCAACTCGCCGACGAAACAGCCGCCGACGGGAGATTAAATCAAGTGCCGACGGAAACCTAGAATCTAAACGCAATGCAGTTAGAAGCAGTACCTCCGACGGGATGGTAAGCACGGGAAGAAAACCCTAGCAAGATTAGAGTAACGATTACGAGTTCACTCGGAGTGAATTTCCGAGACGAAGAAACAGAAAAAGGATTTCCGACTTGCAGCTTTTCACCTTGTTCGTTTCTTCACCTTCCTTCCTCTTGCTCTTCTGCTTCTCTCTCCTCTACGAGGAGGAGGGAGAAGGAGAAGATGCGGCCAGAAATCTGATCCAGAAGCTAAAAATGGAGCGGGAAGCTCGCTCCGCCTACCTTCCGAATGGCTCGACTGCGTCGCGCTGGTAGTGGCCGCGACTGTGTGTAAATAAATTTTTTTCTTTGGGGGATTTGCCGGTTGCCTTTCTTTCCTCTTAGCGGTACGTTTGCGGCAAATCGGCGAGGCGATGCATTAATTACTGATCACTGATACGACGTCGTGTCCACTGGACCCCGACTAATAATTCATGACTTCTAATCTCGCAACGCCAACTTTCATGCTAGTTTTGTTTTTTAAATTAGAATGATTAGCGCGAAAATTAGCAATACTTAATTGCCCCAATTGGTAATCCTTCCTTTCCCCTCGCTATAACTGCGTGGGAGCTGGTCATCTCTGTTAAAGAACCCAGCCTTTGTTCACAACAAAAAAAAGAAAACAAGAAACCAGCCTTTCTGATTTGCAAACAAAAAAAAGCCGGCCTTCACAAACGGACCTGCTTCCGCCGAACCTCGCATTACCTCTTTGCTCGCTTTTTCTCCGTTCTAGTTAGAGTAGGGCGGCAATGTCAGCCTCCCTTACTCCCAACGCTGTAGAGTTGATCAGTCGTAGCGAGGTCTCTTCGTCGGTGGTAGTACAGGTGGTGGAAATCGATAAATTGAGTTCTTCGCCAGAGACATTCCGTCTACTGATCTCCGATTCCGTCAACGCCGTCTGGGCGGTGCTGACCCCTAAAATGAACGAGAAGTTCAACAAAGGCGATGTGATTCAGATTACTGATTACAAGCTCGGCGAAAGAGAGTAAGCCTTCTGGTATCTTTAATGGCTTGGTGGCTTTAGGGTTTTGGCAATTGTGTTGTTAATCGTTCCAATGTGCAAACTGCTGTTGTTTCTGTCCTGATTTTACCTGTTCTATATTGCCGTTGCTTCTTGTTCTCTGTAGAAGGATTTTTTAGATGAATATGCAGAAGGATTTGGGTTAATCAAGAACTAGTTTTTCTACCCGTTAACACGCTAAATCTTGTACAGAATGTGTTTTCTGCGGGAGCTGCACGTGATGGTCCCAGAATTGGGTATACTAGGCAGTCCTCGTCTATCTTCCACGAATCTTCCGAGGGTGGATTCCGCGGGCCTTCCAGTAATTATGATTTCTGAATTGACATTAAACAGTGATGAGGTAGAGAATAGCTCTATCAAAGCTCGTGTGACGACAAAATCGAGCATCAGACCTTGTGCTCCAGACAAAAGACACCGTCAGTTTTTCAACTTCGAACTTATTGTTAGGACTTTTATGGACGAGGGTATATGTACGATAGCCCGAGACCGGGTGACCAGGATTGTGATAGAGTCGTGAACAACGTTCACTTTCCGTAAAGAATATTTCCACCCTCAACAAGCCTAGGGTTACAGGAAATTTCTTCGTAGGATAAAACTATCACCACTTTAGGTTCCAGGCTTAAGTACCTAAAGCATACTTAGAACTTTTAGTAGGAAGAAGAATGAATCTTTGGTGTGTCCTATCCATCATCCGACCACTCATATTTATAGTAACGAAGCACCACTTGACAAAGCATTGTATCCCTTTGTGAAATGGCGTGTTGGTTAACTGCCATTCTAAACCGTTACCATTCCAAACGCATGCAAGGGATCACATTCCCCATGAAAGGAAACGATGCATGCATATGGCATCTCATATATCCAAAAGTGTCAATGCACCATTCCAAATGATGCATCACTTCATGCAACACTTTATTTCTTTAAATGCCAAGTAATTCCATTTAATTGACACGTTGCATGGGATATAACTACCATCCCATTTCAATTTGAATGAAACACTGCTTCTCTATAAAAATGTATCCATGCATGTTTTGGCAGGAGTCACGTTGGTTCGCTTTGGTTGGTTTGGTTAGTCATTCCAAATTTCCAACACTTATTGGTTTGGATCGAGCAGAAATCAGAGTCACTGCCTTCGATAATGTAGCTGATAAATTCCATGGGACAGTAGAGCTGGAAGGAGTGTTTTTGATCTCCAGGTTTGATTTGAAGCCCGCTGATCGGGAGTACCATAACCTGAGAAATAGGCTGGAGATCATTCTGATGAATAGGTCCACCATTATTAATTGTGTGGACAATGGTTCTTTTCCCACGAAAGATGTGGACGTTCTCTCCTGTGAGCGTTGTTTGTACAGCAGCTGTTGGTTCCCTCGTTGACATACTTGGAACCGTGATCTCTGTGGGGCGATATAAAATTATCAGATCAAATCGGTTTCAAGGAAGGGAGTTGAGCATGCGGGTTGTAGGGGCACCAGCCGTTAGGGTTTTTCTTTGGGGGAACGAGTTCAAACAGATAGGCGATTCTCTTGAAGCTATCTTCAATTTGGGGAGGCATCCTACAGTATCAATCACACAAGCAAAGGTCAGCTTACATCTGCAGCAGAAAGTAGCGGGAACGCTAACATCTAGTTTTGTTAAAATAGATCCTTATGCTAGTAACGCTAGCTCCTCATTTGACAGCAACTTGGGTGCTATCACTGTTATGCCCAATGCAAACAGAAAGACGGTATTGGAGATCATTGGAAACCTGGGGAAATACCTTATGGCAGAGTATGTCACCGTGGAGGCCACCATTAGCAAATTCAAAGATGGTCCCTAGGACTCCTATTATGAAATATGTACGCTTTGTAACAGTAAAGCGGAGATTTGCGAAAGAATGGTATGCAACGTATGCGGTCAACAAGTCTCAAGCCGGGTCTTTAGATATAATCTTCAATTTCAGATTGAAGATGCAACTGCAAAAGGGGGCTTTTGGGTTTCAGCTTTCGATGAATGCGGAACCCAAATCATGGGTATCACCGCGGCGGAACTCGTTCAGAGCTGCTAAAAAGCAAGGAATCTTGCACTTATGTGTTCAGGCTTAAGATGAAGGAATTCCGCAATGTACGCACGCTGATGGTTACTGCATTCATGGCCGACAGAGATTGGGCTAGATACAAGTCTCAGGTATGATTTTTTTTTGGCAGTAAGTGAACAGATAGATTAGAATGCCAGGAAAGAAGTGTACAAAAGGAACCTGGCATATAATAGATGGGTTATATACGAGTCTCAGAAATTCTTTGGCATTCTGTGAACAAGATAGATTAGAATGCCAGGAAAGAAGGCAGATAATAGATGAGTTATATACGAGTCTCAGAAATTCTTTCGCATTCTGTGAACCAGGTAGATTAGAATGCCAATAAGAGTACAGAACGATGCATTTTCTGTAAAGCCAAACTAATACAAACAAATTGTTTCCGATCCAGAAAGACTTGTGTTTGAATATCAATGCATGCACATTTCATTTCTAATCAAATGATTGTGGATATGAGTCCTGTCGGCCGTGTCAATTTCTTTATGGGGAATTGTACGTTTGATTATCAAAAGAAGCATCTTTGACTTTTTGTGTGATGCTTATGTGGCAAAAGATGCATCTTTGACTTTTTGTGTGTGTGTCTGATGCTTATGTGGCAATTTCTTGTTTGGGGATTGTGATGGATAGATAAGGCATAAAGACATAAGGTTATTGTCGCTGCCCTAATCACCATTAGTCCATCACATTCGTAAAAGAATAATCTTTTCTCTTGTGGGATGGGGTTTTGGGCTCATGTATTTTACCATTGGGCTGGCAAACCCGGAGCGAAGATAAGAGGACCTCTGAAGCCCAGTCAAGGTTAGCAAACATTCTGGTTGTTTCTCGTTGACAGATCCAAAAGTGTATCAATTTAACTAGCTTTGTACCCATTCGAATTGGGGAAGATTTGCTATCAGCCGTTCACTGGCGACGGTTCCGGCGGTGATTTTCAGCGATTTGGGCGGTTTGTCTACTATCAATATTGATGGTTGCGGCGGTTCCAGCTCCCTCCACTTCTCCTCTCAATATCGTCTGGGATCTGTCACTCCTTCATATACCATTGCTTCTTCTTCCCCTGTACCCGAAGCTTCACACTCTGCCATTCATCGTCGATGTGCTCTGCCACAAATGCACCCGACTGCCCAAAATTGCAACAAACCGGGAAAAATGACTACCAACGACAAAAATCAATGGTCTTGAACTGAATTTTTGGTTTGGTTACTTGTAATCTATGTTCCCTCTAATCAAATCACGAGAGTAGCGTCGGGATTTTTTATTTTATTTTTAATTAGTAAGTGACGTGGGATGCAAGCTCAGTAACAGAATAAATGTTTGACCGTTAATATTAACAGTTAACAAAAGTTTCGGGACAAATTTGTCTAATAATTTCAAAAGTATGTCATAAATTTCTTATTTTAAAAATAAGGCCAAAATTGTCACTTATACTAAACTTCGGACCAAACTAGGGTATTAATCATTTTCCTTATCCGATGATTGTTATATTTTCTCCTTCCAATTTGGATTCTAGGGTTCCATTTTCCTTTTCAATTTGTTTCCTAAATTTGATTATGGGTTTTAAAGAAACAAGTGGTGTTTGTGCTTGGCTAGTTTAGGAGAACAAGATGTAATGAGTAGTCTGTCATATTCTACTACAAATGTCGGGAAGAGGATCTGTAACACAAAATGGACTAATATTCATATCACCTGGACTAATATTATTTGACTCATGAATACTGGTTCATCTATTATTATTCATATATGTAATTAATACTTGGTTATACAAATGAGTGCTAGTTCATCAAACCCTTGATACTAATTCATGGAAACAAACATTCTACCAAGTGTTAAACAAAACATGGATACTACTTCAAGTCTTCAACACAAGGGATACTAGTTCGCTCATTTTGTATACTTGTTCATGTATACTTGAATACTACTTCATATATATCTAGGGGTTTCAAGTCCGTTTCGGGTTCTCGCCTCTCGGGTTAATTCCAAATCGATCCGCCTCCGCCGTCGCTTTCGCCAATGGCCGACTCCGACTCGGCCACTGCCCTATCTCCGCCGACCGCTCCTCTCGCTCCGGTTTACTTCTACTTCTTACTTCCCCTGGCTTCAACCCCCTATCTTCTCCGTATATTTCCTTTATTACATTGTTTTTCATTTCCGATTCTTGTTTTTTGCCGTTTCGAGCCGGCTCCAGAGGAAGGAGAATCTCACGCCGGTCGGTTCCAAGATCGCGGTGAGAGACAGTTTCCTCGTTTCCTTACCCTTTGAATTTCGAATTCACCTAACTAGTTACCAGGGAGGGTTTTGATTTACAATTTAGTTATCCTCCTCATAGGAAATAGTGTGAGTATATACTCACAGGGCCGGATGGCCACCCACGTCGCCGAGCCGAGATCAGACGGTGGAGGAAGGTTGGCGTCAACTTGTGAGCATGGTAAAGGAAACCGTACCGGACATCATACCGGATTCCTTTATGGTAGGGTATTTTGTGGTACAACTGTGGTTCAACCGTTTCATACCGGTAAATACCGTTTTTGTAATAATAAATTTTTTTTGTCAAAAAACCGTGCCGCCATAATCAGAGTATCGTCTCGGAGTAATACCGGATATATCGAAATATACCGGATAATAAATGAATAAATACAAGTAGTTAGCAAATTAATATATCGGAATATACCCGATGACAAACAAAATATTACCTTTTTTCCGTTGAATCAATCCCACACTATTATTCACGAAAAGTGTCCATCAATATATTGGATTCTCATTTCCTATACAATAGAATATATTAAATATCTTCCTTTTCTTTAATATTATATCTCCTTTCTTAATTAATAAATAGAAGAACTATTTTTTTGTTTATTTTTAAACGTGAATCAAAAATGAAAAAGAAATTATTTTTTATCACTCGGCTATCACAGTATCACTCCGCGTGGCTGTTTACTATGAGGACAAAAAATAAGAAAAATATAATTCATCAATTCCTCGTTACCTTTCCCCATTTCTCCAGAAACCCCCTTTCTCTCCTCTGTTCTTTCTCTCTCAACTATCAAATTGAAAATCAAATTCAAAGAAGGAAAAGGAGAAGCCCAGAAGTTAGAGCTAGGGAGGCCCTAATCGATCCATCTCGCGCTTCATACGACAAGATGGAGGAGGAGATAGGACTAACGGTGGATATGACTGGGTGTGCCGGTGTGGGACGACGGAAGACCAGAAGCGTGGGAGGTTTCAACATGCAATGGGTCTGAGAGGAAGATGAAGGTGGTGGCAGCTGGCTGGCGCAGAGGTTCTGGGAGGAAGATGAAGAAGGGCGGAGGTGGTTTTCAGTGCTAAGCATGATGGATGGAGGAATAAGACAGCGGTCCTCTTCACGGAGGCGGCGGACAGTCAATGGCGGCAGCGGTGAGAGAGCTACAGAGGTTCATCAAAGAAGAGAAGAGGCGCAGCGGCACGGTGGAGCGTTGCATGGATCGGCTAGACCTTTCGCCGGTCTCCATGTTGATCTCTCCGGTCGCGGGTCGTCAGTCGCCACTCACCAGAGGAGAAGAGAAGAGAAGAGGAGGGGCGGCGCAGAGCAGAGCTGGAGAAGAAAGATGCACTCGTTTGATTAGAGCTAGGGTTTTGATTTTGGGCGTTCGTTGTTTGGACACCATTTTTTTTTAAGAACGACAACGTTTTTATTGGATATAGGATACCGCCGGTTAGAACAAAACCGGGCGGTTTCTCGTTTTGTGCCGGTTAACCCGGAAAAACCGGCCGACACAGTAAAAAGACCCCTAACAGCCTATCATTTCGTTTTTTGTCCGGTTTCCGGTTGAACCGGTTGAACCGACCGGTACGATCCGGTTTCCTGGTCCATGGTTAGAATAGGGCGTTAGATACCACTAACGTCAATAAACGGTAGATCCGTTAAACTTTCCGCCGGTCTGACATTAAGATGGAATAAAATATTATTTTTGTCAAAAAATTAAAACTAATATAAAAGAAAAGGGAAAATTAAAAATTAAAAACTCCAAAAAATCCCCTCTCTTGCGTCCTCCAATCCTGAGCCGCCATCACGGCGACCATGCCGTCAACAGTCTCCTTAAGGGCGCCGTCGTGGACTACGTACAGCTCTTTCTTCGCATCACAGAACCTCCCTCAACCAGCTGTCGACGCCGAAGATTCAACGCCTGAGAGCAGCGCCGACGTGAAGAAGCCCACGTATGGTACGGTAGTCGTAGCGAAACGATTCCTTTTATCTGGTTCGAAGATCGCCGAGCTACGGGAGAAAATAGGGTGCTTCCGTGGCCGGCAGAGGATCGAGGCCACAAAAGAACCGCCGTCACAAAAGAAGAAGGCAACAAATTAGGGTTTCATTCTAGCGGTTATGGCTGGCGGGGAAGCTGTGTGGAGCCATGAGGAACACCGTCGTTGGTGGTGTCAGGTGTGGTGATGATTTGACGATGGGAAGATGGGCCGGCGTTGAGGATAAAGGATAATCTTTGTATTTTATTTTAAATTTTCCCTTACTCTTTATTTTTAAATTTATATTTCTTTACTAAATAATAATATTTTATTATGCTTTAACGGTAGATGGAAGGAAATGGTGACGGATGCACAATTTATTGAGGTTAGTGGTACCCGATGCACTATTCTAACTTAAGTTGTATAACTACACATATTCTCATACTTTAGTGGTACCCCGGGGTATTTTAATATTTTTAAGAGGTGGAAGACATTAAGTGCGTGGTTATTAAAAAAATTTCCCCATAGTTATCCTCAAAAGAAAGCAATATAGATACAACAATATACAAGACTTACTAAAATCAAGTTATGAAATTTAAATAAATAAAATATGACGATCGACAAGTGCATGTACCATCACTTCAAGAGCTTGTCTTGGCACGATATGTCGTAATTATGATATATAGTAAAATATAAGTTATTTTATAATTATTAAGTCATTCTCATTTGCTAAACTTTATCGAATGTTCGCAAAGGACAAGTCGTACATATTTTATTAAGTTCTAATCGAAATGACTGAACTGAAAACGAAACTCATATATTAGTAAAATATGTAAGTATTCTAGGAGCTATAACCGAAATGACTACTTAAATTAGTAATAACCCACCTTAATATCATTAGCTATGGCTATTGGCTACTAATCAACTTTCGGTATGATAACTTGACACCTTTCCACGTCGATCTTTGAGAAATAAACAAAATATTGGAGCTAGCGATAGCATCACACTCTTTGAAAGCCACCCACTCTAACCACCCTCAATCGAATTTAGCCAACCACCCAATTCCCTGACCTAACCCCTAACTCAGTCCCTCCATAAAACCAAACTCACAAAATCACTACTTTCATGCAAATTAAACCAACACAACATGGAGCACCGTCTCGTCGTCTTCACTCTTCTTCTTCTTCTTCTAGTCATCATGATAATCCCTGCCACCGCCCTGTTAGAAGACCTGTGAGCTGAAACGTAAAGAACAATAGGTTTACGTGGTTTCCAGTATTGCAGAGAGCAATACCGACTAGTCCACGGAGTAACGGAGTCTCTTATTCAGCTTAATGACCAACGATGGAGTACAGGGGAAATATATACAAGCTAAACCCTAATCCATGCTCTCAACAGTCTACGTATGCATGGATTAATGGGCTAGGGTACTGAACTTATGTACATAACTGGGCCGGGCCCTATATACACTAACAGCCTCCCCCAAATTGATGCCGATCACGAAGCATCAATTTGCCCGAAAGATACCAATGACGACTGGTGGGAAGAGACTTCGTGAGGAGGTCAGCAATCTGCTCCTCCGATGCCACGTAGTGCACACGTAGAACTCCATCACGAACCAAATCCCGGACATAATGAACATGAAGTTCAATATGTTTGGTTCGCTCATGCATGACAGGATTTACCGCAATCTGGATAGCACTGGTGTTATCCACGAACAAATCCACAGGGGAAGAGCACGAAACACCAAAATCAGACAACAAACGGTGAAGCCAGATCACCTCGGAAGCCACCTCGAACATAGCCCGGTACTCAGCCTCAGTGGAGGACTTAGAAACCCGATCCTGCTTCTTACATCGCCAGGAGATAAACGAAGTGCCAAAACGGACACACCATCCAGAGGTCGAACGACGAGTGTCAAGACACCCAGCAAAATCCGAGTCGGAGAAAGCCTGAAGATCAAGCGGCCCCTGTGAGGGGAAGAACAATCCAACATCAAGAGTGCCCTGTAGATAGCGAAGGATCCGATGAACTGCGGCCAAATGGTCCTGACACGGAGCAGCCATAAACTGACTGACGATCTGAACTGCATAGGAGATATCCGGGCGGGTGGCAGCCAAGTAAATTAGGCTACCTACAATGCTCCGATAAGATGACCCATCGACCAAAGGAGAACCAGAGTCCCGATGGAGCTTAAGATTGAGCTCCATGGGTGTACGAACAGGACGACATGAATCAAACTGATGATCGGAGAGGAGATCCTTGATGTACTTAGTCTGATGCAGAAGAATACCCTGGGAAGAACGTGTAACCTCCAATCCCAAAAATACTGCAAATTCCCCAAATCCTTCAAGTTAAAAGCTGCCTGCATACCCTGCTTCAAAGACTCAATACCTGCGGCATCATCCCCAGTAACTACCATGTCATCAACATAAAGCAAAAGGACGACGATGCCTGTGGACGAAGTCTTCGTGAACAGGGACGGGTCATTAAGACTCTGACGGAGCCTCAAAGCAAGAATGGTCGTCTGAAACTTCTCAAACCAGGCACGAGGGCCTGCTTGAGACCATAAAGTGAGCGGTGGAGGAGACAAACCTGACCCGGTAAAGCATACTTATACCCGGGAGGAGGTTCCATATAGACAACCTCCTTCAAATCCCCGTGAAGAAAAGCATTCTTCACGTCAAACTGATAGAGAGGCCAATCACGAGCAGCTGCAACAGCTAACAGAGTCCGAACAGTAGGCATCTTAGCAACCGAGGCAAAGGTCTCGTCGTAGTCCACACCGTGTTCCTGAGTAAAGCCCTGAGCTACGACTCGGGCTTTATGTCTTTCGATCGAGCCATCCGGGAGAACCTTGATGTTATACACCCACTTACTGCCAACAATAGGAACCGGTGGAGGTGGACGGTCAACAACAGTCCACGTACCATTTGCATGTAATGCATCTATCTCCACGTCCATAGCATTATCCCAAACGGGATTTCCATGTGCTTGCTTGTAACGGGTAGGAATCATCACAAAGTCAACTCCATAGGCATGGTAGTCCTGAAAACGGAGGGGTGGCTGACCCAACGTCAAACGCGACGAACGACGAGGAGCCGGCGGAGTAGCTGGGGACGCAGCAGCCGAACTGGAGGCCACGGAGGTGGCGGCAGAGCTGGGACCAGACGATGCTTCAGGATCCGAAGACACCGTAGTACTGGGAGACGATGAGGAGCTGGAAGTCGCCGAGGGTGTAGCCGGAGGAGACAGGTCAGGCGAGTCGGGTGGATCAATATGGGGAGGGTCACCCGGGGGGTCATCATCTTCTTCAGGGAAAATGGGTAGCTGAGACTCGGTTGACAAAAAGGACAGGGATGGACTACTAGACTTGGAAAAGAAAGGAAACTGCTCAAAAAAGGCAACATTACATGTAATTCTAATACGTTTTAAGACCGGATCATAGCATAGGTATCCTTTATGAACGTCACTGTAACCCAGGAAAGCACATCGAACAGTTTTAGAGGACAACTTAGGACGCTCTTTCTTAGACAGAAGCACAAAACAAGTACACCCAAAGACCCTAAGACGAGAGTAATCTGGATGAGAAGAATACAACGCAAAATGAGGACTCTTTTGACTCAGGACAGGAGTGATCTGATAATTTATGAGACGAACAGCTTTAGCAACAGCCTCCGGCCAAAATGACACCGGGACATGAGAAGCCAACAAGAGAGCCCTCGTAAGATCAAGAACATGTCTATTCTTCCTTTCAACTAGACCGTTCTGTTGAGATATACCGGGACATGATTTTTGACTCAAGATGCCAAGGGACCGGTAAAGATCACGCAACGGATGGGAACTGAATTCCCCGCCTGGGTCAGACCGAACAATCTTGACAGGACGCTCAAACTGAGTTCGGATCATGTTCAGGAATTCCGAAGCAGCAGCAAGCAAGTCAGATTTCAGGCGAAGGAAATACACCCAAGTAAACCGGGTGGCGTGATCGACAAACAAGGCAAAATAGCAAAAACCATGTCGTGATACAACTTGGGACGGTCCCCACAAATCGGTGTGTATAAGATGAAATGGTTCAGAAATCACAGTCGTACTTGAGGGAAAAGGAATACTAGTGATCTTGGCCTCAATACAACTCGTACATAAATGTGAAGCAACACCATTCATCTTATTTTTTCCAAGAAGTTCTTGTTTAAACATAGCCAAAAGACGAGCAGAGTTGGGATGGCCCAAACGAGCATGCCACAAATCCCATACATTATCAGACCGACTCGACAAGGAAGAAGACACTGGGAAAGAAACCGAATCACTAGACACCGACGAAACTACTTGACTGGAAGGACTACTGACAAGGGGTGAACTAACTGATGATGGTGTTGATGACCCCGTACTCGAGAGCTCCTCGAGATGAAAGACCCGCCCCTTTTTACTCCCTCGCCCGATCTGCCTCCCCGTCTTCGTGTCCTGTATAACACAACCAGAAGGGCCAAACAAAACGGATAAACCTTGCTCTGTAAGCTGGCCCACCGAAACCAAATTTGGAACTAAAGCAGGAACATGTAACGTATTTGGCAGCTGCATATGTGAACTACTAATACTCCCAACACCATTAACCTTTAAACTTTGGCCATTTGCAACATGTAAAGCCATATCATGGATAGGAACTAAGTTTCGAATTTTGGTAGCATCTCGTGTCATGTGGTTGAAACAAGCAGAATCAATCAACCAAGGTTTAGGCGTACCTGTCATTTGTAGGGCAGCAAAGGCGCTACTAATAGCACCAGGCAGAGAGCGCTGGAGGGCAGCACTCACAAGCTGCTCCACAGCGGCAGCATTCATTGCCGACGTCGAGGACTCACCAACGCCAGGAGTTGCATAGACTGGGCGCTCCACAGCAGCTCGCTCAATCGACGCCGAGCGTGGGTCGTTGGCGCGCGCAGCCGCCCTTTGAGCAGACTTACAATCCAGCACAATGTGACCACGACTTTTGCAATAGACGCAGAAGTTCTTACGACGACAATGCTTCTGATAATGCCCTTTTTCGTGGTAATGGTGGCATTCAACATCAGCAGCAGCTACACGCCGTTGGAATTGTGGCTTCTGAATAGCAAAAGCGGTCGACGACGCAGTCGTCGGATCAGGGTGAACTGCCGCTGCGATCACCGTCTCACCTTCCCCCGGACGAATGTCAAGTTGGGCCTGGGTGCGAAGGCGAATCTCTTCACGCACAAGCAGACCGAGAATCCCCTCAAGCTTCAAATC